GAAAGCCAGCTTCCCAGCCAATCAGCATCGAGCCGGCTTCCTGGCCAATCAGGTCATTAATCGCCGCTGGGTTTCCTGATTGGCCAGGAAGCTGGCTCGATGCTGATTGGCCGGGAAAACGGCTTCCTAGCCATTCACAATCAAGCCGGCTAAACAACATGGAGTCGGCTTCCCTGGCAGTCAGGAAGCCGGGTAGCATCTCATTACCCGCTTCCCGGCTTCCTGATTGCCCGGGAAGCCTGCTCCATGCAAACGGAAGCACCGATACTCGGTGAGTACCGAATCAAAATATCAGTACTCTATACCCAAAAAGCGGTATTGGTGCATCCCTAGTTTTAATTAAAACTATTTTTTTTTTGTATCATGACAAGTAGATTGTTATGAAGGACAAGTAGATTTGGCCCCCGCTTTAGCCCTTGGACAAGTAGTTTTTTCAAAAATTTCCACACCCCTGCAGCGTATACCACCGCACATACTGTATATCGTGTAAACTGGCACATAGAGAACACTCGATTTCTATGTGCCCTTGTATTTTTTCAAACAAGTGCAGCACTAAAAAGCAGTCCCTCTGATTTATGTCTATAAATGATCTCTGTGTACATAATCCTCATAATATGCGATCACAAACAGACTGAAAAAAATATAAATGTAAAACCTTATTCATACAACACACGCATTCTTTATATAAACCACATACTACAGTATTTCAACCTATTCAAACATCCAGACAGACATAAAACAAACATGCAGCAAATGAGGACCTGAGAAAAGTCAGACCTTCAAACCTTATTTATTCAGGACCATTGACTTTAAAAATGTTGAAGTTGGAGCATCAGCCAGGCAATTGGCTTTCATAAAAGTAAAGTGAAAGTTGACCCAAAAGTGAAGATTTGCTATGCTATAAAAAACATCTAGAAACTGTGCTGAAGCATTATCCTTAAAAGGGTGTCTTTTGCCCGGAATTTCTCCTGAAAATAGCACGTCAACATGTTTGTGTAAGTTCAAACTTGAGGTATTGAGATCTGTTTAAGAGGACCTGAACTGTGGAAGCTAAGCCCAAAAAAGGCAACTAGAGATCAATTATTCACCAGTATTGTCTATAGGCTCCCTTCAGCTGTATTTTATTTTTCTCTATAATTGACTTGCCGTGCCCTGTTTTGCACTGTGTCCATATTATTTGAGACATGCAGTCAAAAACAGCAATGCATCAGCTTTAACCTTTTCATCACTAAGGCCTTTTTTTCATTTTTAGTTTACATGTTATAATCATCATGTTAGGCCTGAAACTTACTTAAAACCCCCCCCCCCCCCAACATTATACATTTTCTGAAAGCCAAGGCCCTATAGAATAAAATGTCAGCAGCTGCAAATTTTTATTTTGCACTATATTGGCACAACTCCATATCAACCCCCAACATTTAACTGGGGTATTAATTAAACTGTACATTAATCACACGTGACTATACGAAGTTCTGAACCAAGCGAGCCGTCACAAGGACGTGGCGATACCACTCTCACCCTGCACAGAGTTTTCCCAGCTCGTAGGACAACAATCTCAGGCCAGCAGACTGAGCGATCGCCACTAGGGTTGGTTAACTCCGTAGTTAATCCTTTACACACCAAATCAATGCTACCATGTGTTTTTTAACGGACACTTAGACCGTTCCCAGCAAATGCTATGACAATTCAAAACACTTAAAGCCTATGATACCACTGTCCTCTCAGACAGGAATATGACAGGTTTCACTATACAATAGCACTCTTCAAAGAGGCAAGGATACTTTAAGTTCTTATTTAGAGTGAGCAGATAAACGTAACATTTTTTAAGATTGTCCTTATTGTTCTAATAAAAGAAACTGCAGAAAAAATATACAGAAAAAGATATTAATAAAGAGACAAAATATATAACAGTAAAATAAAAAGAATACTTAGCAGTCCTGGGTTCATGAGTTCTGACAGAGTCCAGTTCAATAAGCAAAAGATGGGTCTGAATGGCTCATATCCAAGCAAGGCTTGCACAAATGATTTCCGAATAATAAAGGGGAACTCTTCTGGGCTGATACAAACTTTTTGATGTTGCAGGAGTCCCCCTTGATGTTAAAACAAGAGCCTCCCTAGCTGACTCTGCAGCAGCTTTTTGTCAGCCTTCTAGGGGATGTCACGGAGCTGGCCCCTAGGGCAGGGCTGGGGAGGGGGAGCAGGAGGGCTAAGCATTTACAATGTGCTCCTCCCAAACTTAAATTCATAACTATGAGGAAAATTGAATATTCATATCCAATACCGTCCGTCAACCCCAAAATTATCGTGGGTGATGAAATGAGGTTTACATTTAAACCAAACTTGACATATGAAGCATGATTGGGCCACGCGAGCTAAGGCAGTTTGTCAGGCACCTGACCCTTGTAGCCTTTCCATTCTTGGTATGTCTGTTTTTGTCTTGAGGAGACAAAGCTATGTGTGCAATTAATTTTACAATATCACTGTCCAATTCTAAGTTATGATAATGGGTTGATATTAAAACTCAGTTTTATGACTACGTGTGTCTCTGAGGTCACCTGGGTCATTACAGTTACCATGTTCTGTGTTTACCTACCTGTCGATTGCTAATATATTGGGGGATTTAGCTGAGCTGGACAAAACCATTACCCAGGTATTAGGAATTTATGATCCTGATTATAAAGGAATCACTTAAAATAATTCACGCCAGGTCTAGGTATAGCCCGACGTGACCCTAAAGAGAACTTTGTGATAAAAAGGTTACCCTATAGGTTTCTTTTAATATTAATAAGATCAAACTTCATTACCATCACACTGACCACAGGGGGCTTGGTCCTCCATCTTGACTGAGCTGCAGTCTTTTGAGAAAGGTCCTTTGGACGCTTTCCCATGTTATTCCTTCAATCACTGTTCTTGCTGTATTGCCAAGATTCCTCTTCCTTGCTTCATGCGTGCTGATGCTTTACTGGATCTGAGGGTACAGGGGTATTCGTAGACCTAAAGCTGCAGTAACTCCAGTGATACCTCTTGGCTTCAGAGAAGATGTGTTAACTTTATCCTCAGCTTTACCTGGTCCAGCTCATCAACCTCTTTGGTCTCAATCTCATTGCCTGCCCTTTTGCAGAGGTGTTTCCCATGCAACCTCTCCTTTCAGTTGTATTGACTATTGTATTGTATTGTGGGATTAAATTCTTGTGTTCTTTGGTGGAATGGAAAGTGTATTTCCATTTTTGCAGCTAAAACTGGGATAACGCTTATTTTTTCCCCTGTTACATGTTTCTCATTCACACATAACTTAAAACATAAATTGCTTCTTGCATAAAACATACTCCGTTCTCAAAGAAAGTTTTTTTTTTTTTTGCTATACTGAATTTTCCTGTAGGATGGGGAGGAAAATATTTGGATTATTAACCTTGTCCTGTTACTGAAATTGAGATAGAAGTTGCAAAGGCCTGCAAAATAGAGATCTCTAAAAGGTCAGAAATATTTTTTGAAAACAAACGCTATTTTAGATATGCTGTGTGAATAGGAACACATTAACATATAGTGGGTCTCTTCTCAATTTTGCCTGCAAATGTAGAAATACACTTTAAGGGTGTTGTATTCTAACTGATTTGGGGGTTTCCCTAGTAAGGCTTGCTTAGCAAGCTTAGTCTTCTGACCAGACAATTTGTTTTGACACAGATTTTTCATTGTCACACTAGGAGTCAGGTGTGTACTGCTTAGGGCCTTCCCTTTTGGACTGACTGGTCTTTTTGCCAAGACCTGCTTTTTTTCCGTTAAGATTTACCTTGTGTGAATATCGGGCATATATGGCTTCTTGAGTGATGCCAACTCTCTGGTATCCCCCACTCCCCTGACCCCTCTACCTCTCTGACTCTATCCAAGCTCTGCCTTGCCTTATCTCCTCCCCTCCCTTTACCCCCCCCCCCTTTTTTCTTCTTTCTCATTCGAGTATCTAGCCTTCCCTTAGGTATTTTACACCTTCCTCGAGGTAACGGTTACTTATGATTCGCTTGATGGACGATATGACATCTCAGCCATCTACGGACCATTTCACAGTTGGAGCTCTCCCCCGAGATGATAGGAGTATTGGACTCCAGAATCTGGGGAAGTTCTGCTCACAGCTCAATGTTTACATATCAAGCTTATTGTGTAGCCCTGGGATGTTAGTAATATTGCTGAATGACTGTAATTTTTTCATGCTATCCCCACACATGTCTGTATATGATTTGTGTATGTACTTTCCCCTTCTACTGTATGTAAATGACATAACATGTTATGTTACGAAAATGTGGAGCTTGACTAGGGCTGCAACAACTAATCGACATAATCGATTATAATCGATTATTGAAAAAGTTGTCAACTTTTTCAATAATCGATTAATCGGCTTCTGATTGGTTGGCCCTGTTCGGCTCAAATTGATTAAATAAATTACCGATTAATCGAGGAATTAATCGTTAATTTCCGCAGCCCTAAAAAATACCTCAACTCCTCAAAAAAAAAAGAAGTTACCTCTGTTAAGGTGCAAGTTTTACTGTATCAATGTGATGGCTTCAGACGATATTTGTAAGGTTTTGCAGGCTGTCGTGTGATTCAGCCTTGGCAGAATTTGTTTTTTTCAGGCATTTTGTTTTAGCTCACTATTTTAGGGGGGGGGGAGGTCAATGTGCTTTTTGAGCATCCCAGAAGGCCTGCTGATTACAGTAATGTTTTGGTGAGTAGATTTTTATTACACTCTTTTTCTTCATTATTTCATTGGGGCATAGCAGATCTTGGCCATTTGCTCATTTTTAACATTTATTTTATTACTATTATCTAACTCAGAGCTCTCTTATATGCAGATGAGCAGGGCTTGAAAAATCCACTCATCCTCTCTTCTGTGACGAGAGGACGCCGGAGCCAGACGAGTAGCTTCCCGACTGGCCGTTGTAATTAAACAGCCGGGAGCTTTACATTCAAGCAATTGGGCGTCTCTAGAAACGCCTGATCGCTTGTATTAGCAGCAGCTGTCACTGCCGTTGCCGGTCCCTTGTTCCCGGCCGGGACCGGCACGGCTGCTCTGTGACAGGAGATCAAAGGGAGATCAGTACACGAACTCCCTCTTATCTCCACTCCAGTCCCCGAATGCAGGAAGTGATGTATATTGCATCACTTTCGCATTCAGCTGTCATTCCCAGCTACAGAAGCTGGTGAAGTAGTTCTCTGCTTCATCAACTTCTCTGGGGGTCCCTAGGTAACATTAGGGGTCTTGGAGAGCCCTGATGTCTCCATAAAGAGGACCAGTCATGTAAATTGGCTATCACATAGGGGGCTTCTTAGCCACCATGTGATAGCAATAAAGTTAAGTTTAAAAAAAGTAATAAAAAATTAAATAAGTATAAAAAAAAAAATTAAAGAAGTATACATAAAAAAAGACACTATCATTTATTTTTTTAAGTCCCCCGTCCCCCACATGCATAGTCCCCCGCCCCCCACATGCTCCCTACATAGGGTGCGCCTACGTGCGAAAACGACAATTGTGCCGCACATGTTACATATCACCACAAAGGTCGGAGTGAGAGCAATAATTGTAGGCCTATTAATCACTGATAACACTAAACTGATGAGCAGTGAAAGCGTTTAAAGTGTTGCCTATGGCCAATTTTCGGTGTGGTTGTTTTTAGTGATTTTGCGGCCGCACACAATTGTAAGAATAAATGTTTTTTAACATAACATAGGGAAAACTTTTTTTCCCCCTGAAATTTACGGTATTTTTCTCATTATAAAGTAAAAAATAAAAACATCAGTGGTGATTATATACCTCCAAAAGAAAGCTCTATCTGTCGCAAAAAAATGTTAACTCAAATTGCAAGGCTATAGTCCGGTCATGCTAACTGGTGACATTTTTGACTGACTGGTGAGACACCCTCAAATTTTTCAAGCCCTGCAGATGAGTATAACTGGGTGGATGGGAAGAACATGCCCTTCTAGGGTTACAGACAAGGCCTAATTCTAAGGCCTTAGAGGTCTTCTTTGTCCCCAAATTAAGGTGGTGAACATTAAAAATCCCCTATTCCATGTTAATCGGGTCCTGCTTATACTGGAATAACTACAGACAAGAAGGAAAAAAGTTCTTAGTGTATTGCTGACTGTTAGGAATCTCTCTCTGTTTAGTTTAGTAAATGTGTGTTATGGTAAAAGGAAATGCATGGTATTTATCGATGTGTTAGTTGTTAACATTGGTTTAATGTCTTGCACCCAGGAGCCTAAACCTTTGCCAAGCATTATGCAGCCAGGAGCATCCACTGACACTGAGTTGGTTGGCCGTGGCCGACAGAAAACAGCTCCTCCAGCATCTAGAACATGTGCAGCGGGTAAGGGATAGCTGCACACAATGCTTTAAAAATGTATTTGCATGTATCTAGGTAAAAAAGAACTGTTACATTGGCGATTCAACAGCATGTTTAGTTTTAAATATTCTTCTTTTCATGATGTAGAGTTGGCTATCTCAGCTGGTTTTCAAGACGTATCAATAGGAGAACGCGGCGGCAGAAAGCGTGATTTTCATGATATTGGTGTTTGCACTAGACAGACTATTGAGCATGTAAAAGATTCTAAAACAGGTAGGTTTACATTTACTTTGGTAATCACTTTGTGGTTTAAACTGACAATAACTTAGTTCACCAAGGTTTAATAGTTTTACTGTTTTTATTTATTTATGTAAATTTTTTTCTAAAAATGTTAAGTTCACTAAAATTAATTTTTATACATGCATATGTGTAGAATCATATTTTTTAATTTACAATAAATTGGCTATTTATTTACATAGCAGACCATGTACAAGAGTGCAAGCTTCACTTTAGGGACCTGCAAGATTCTTTGTGAAAGTATGCGTATATCACAGATGTTGCTGGTATATGTTGGTTGCAAATTTTGCAGATACTTAAAGTAATTTAGTTGACTGAAAAAGGCCTTTCTTTTTGTCATTTATACTATTTATACTAGGGTTATACTATCTAGAAGATATGTTGTCCGCACACCATTCTGCTTCGGAATGTCCTTTTTATTAGTACAGTATTTCTTTAGCATAACATGTCAATGGAACGTTTCAGAGTCTCACAGGACCCCTTCGTCAGGCAAAGTGTCAATGATTAAAAGTATAACTGTGCTAGCACACTACCATCACCGTACAAGTAGCGCAAACTCTCTCTCACTCAGAAAGCTGTCCCTCACGATAACACACATACAAAAGGATGCTGGGAGAGCTGACTTTCATAGGGAGGGGGCTGGCACATTTTCAAAGCTTTATTATTGACCATAATTTTCAGCTTACCAGAGTTCATAACAGGCAATGCATTATGTAGTTCGCATTTTGCACCTTGGCGAACATCCCCATAAATTCGGTGAACAGCAAGCATGCCGAGTTTGTTGTTTGCCCAAAATGGCAGTGAACTGGAATATTTATCCCTAGTGATTATAATGAAGGAGAATGAAATAAAATGCTGTTAAACAGTAAATTAAGGCTATTTTAATGGATGGTGGCCATCCCTTGCACCCTCATACTTTAACATCTCCTTCCCTCTTTTAGAGGTTTCATCAGTGCACATGTGTTTTCATTTGGGACTATTCTCATGTACACCAGTGTTTTTTTCCTCTTAATGGAGAACCCTTTAACGGCTGGATTAAGAGTTGCAGAAAATGTGGTCTTCGGCTCTTTCAATTTAGATGGAATAGACACCATATTATTTCCATTAAACACCATGTTTTCTTTTGGAAGTAAACAACCAATGATTTATTACGTGACTATGGACACACCATGGATTTAGAATTATATGGACACACACTATCTGGGTACTACAGAGCCATGAAAACAGCTGGATTTGGGTTTTTAAATCAACCGCAAATTGGGCTCATACATTATGGCATTACAACAACTGTAGAAAGAGATATTTTAACATATACACCAGCACCAACTTTGTTCACCAGCACCAACCCCTTTGTTCACCAGCACCAACTTGCAACAAAGGTGCTTTCAGAGAATATGTTAAGATAAATCCAAAAAATACACAATTACGATACACTCACAGAAAATGTCTCCACCTACAGTGATTCAGCCCAGGGCACAAGTACAGGGCTAGCTTCCTCTTCTACCGCTACCCCCTTTTTTTTGGAGGGGCCTGCAGACACAAAAGGGGCGAGTAGAAACATAAAAGGCAAGAGGGGAAACCTACATTCATGCAAAGACTCCAAGAGGGCAATGGAAACAACCCGGTGATTAATATCTCAAAAAAAACATTAACTGTTGGCAAGGCACGATTACTCCAAAAGGGTTTTTCGTTTGTCCCACATATCATACAAATTCTTTTCAGCTTGCAATTGAACTTTTCAAGTGTAGGAGACAACACAAATGAAACAGCACTTTTCTAACCAAGTGAACAGTAATCCAACACCTTCTCTTTTTAAAGTGAAGGGTAAATTCATCCCTACAGGTGAATTTGGAACCATTGAAGCATTTATTAGGACCATAAAAAATGCAAATTATTTGATGAGCATAGATATTAACCAAGGATATATTGTACTGTGCATATAATTTCAATACAAAAGAGCCCTAGGGCCAATGAAAAATTGAACTCTTAGAATTTTCAGAATAATGAGGTAGGGGCAATTGTAGTTCTTTACTATTCATAATGCTTACATTGCGACTAGAACATTGCAACCTAGATACACCAGTAGTGCTCAACCATGCATCTTTACATCTCTGTGTGGATGAAAGGCAAGAAGAAATAATGTTCCCAATGGCAAACACTTTCTTGACCATTCCTCCTTGGTTATAATGAGTTATGGTTATAAGCTCTCTTGAATATCTAACCTACTACAGCCCCCTTCAAAAAATCAGTTTTTCATGCTATCAGCTTCAAACTCAAAATCAGGGACCTCGGTACAATTACATCTAGCTCTCAAAAATTCTGCTCTCAGCCTTGGACCCTTTTTTCCAAGAGTTGACTGACTCTTAGAGCAGGAGTGCCCATTAGATCGCATATCGATCACTGGTAGATCGCGATGTCCTGGGGCTTCTCTACTTAAACAGGCGCAAAAGGAGTTGGCTACGGCTATGCTCGCGCGGAATGGGAGACACCTCTCCCCATGTGCAACGTGTCGGCCACACGAGCACCGTGGGAGGACAGGACGCTGGTGCCTCTAGGACGCACTGAAATGCAAGCCAGCCGACTCCCTGCGTTCAGGTGCGGGAGGGGGTGTGGGGTTGTATTAAAGTCAATGGCACCACAGCGCAATCGCCCGCACCCGGAACGCAGGCACATTAGGGCTCAGAATGACACAGTAGTGAAGGATCAAACACCTTAAATAGACATTCAAGTGTGAATTTAAAAACAGGCCCCTCCCTCAGCGTCAGCACCAAGCCCATTCCTACCATAGTGTATTAAAAAATTACTAACCTGGGGGTAATCAGATGTGCAAACGGCGCACAAGTGAGTGCGGCCATTACTCAGAAGGCACGGGTGGTCGCCTTGGTAACCCAACGCTATGTCAGCACTTTAGCGTCATCCACACGTGTCATTTTCGTGTGGAACGCAGGGTTATTCCGGCTTGCGCTCCAGCCAGGTATCCGTGTATGACGCCTGGCTGGTTCGCGTCTGCGCATTGTCTCTGTCGGCTGCAGTTACACTCCTTGGCCACATCGGACGATCAAGAAAAGGGGCACATAGACAAACCACTGCATAGCAACTGATTCTTACTGAGAAGGACTGATATTAAGCCTGTGACAGGGTGGACTTGGTGTTAAACGGATCATTATTACAACAACAACAACAATAACGAATAAGTTTAATTCAATGCCTCTTTTCATACTGTATACAATATAAACCCCATATAATATTGAAACAACATGGTGGGAACACAGTATGCAAACATTTATAAATCGTTTTTGTCATTGTGGATCAGAACTATTGAAGTTGTTGAAGTGGTCTGCAGGGAAAAACAGTAATCTATGGAAAATTAATATTAGAATAGTATAATGATCTATAGCATATAGAAGTAGAACAATTCATACATATGGGGCATGCTGGTTTGGAAAAGGACCTTATGCCTTCCCAATCTGTTCCAGCCTCACTTTCTTGAATAATCAACAAAAATATAGATCTATAGAGAACGTTTATCCCTGCGCTCATCAGGAGGAGAAGGTAAATGGATCGGGTGGGGAAGGAAGTGAGTGAGAAACCGGGAAACCAGATGTGTGGGACAAGGGGAAGAGAATGATAAAATGAATGCTCAGAGCTGCCTATGTGTAGCATGGCCCACTGAGAAATTCAATATCAAGATATTGGAAATTTCTCCATTGGGAAGAAAATAATCAATGCGTTGCTCATGAAATGTATCTATTATTTGTCAACAAGAAAACACGTTAGTGAGAGGTTCGAATTTAGACCCCTGGGTTGTACACAATCCAATTTGAATATCCAGAAGGCCTCCCTCCGGAGGAGCTGCTTGGCCCTGTCTCCTCCCCTGGGGTGTGCATGTACCTGCTCGATAACCATGCCCCTCAGCTCATGCATTTGGTGTCTAAGTTTGGCAAAATGGATGGCCACTGGTTTGTTTAGGTCCAGTATTTCAGTTTTTTGCTGTTTATCCAGTGTCACCCTGATGTCGCTCCTGTGCTTCTGCAAGCGGTGTTTGAAAGGTCGGATGGTTTTGCCAATATATATTAATGAGCAGGGGCATTTGAGCAGACAGACACAATAATCAGTATCACAGGTGTCGTAGCCCCCAATACTGTACTTTTTACCCGTGTATGGATGTGAGAAATGTTCACTGCAGATGACAGAGTTGCAAATATTGCAGTGGAAGCATCTAAAGCATACCACTTTGTTTGACAAGGTCATCGGTTTCTTACTGTATTTGGACCTAGGGTCAGCCTGAATAAGTAAGTTCCTCAACGAGTTACTCTGCTTGTGTATGTGCAGTGGCCTATTCTTCACACTTTGTATTAAGTTTCTATCTGCATCTAAGATTGGATGTGGTGGCCCTCTATGGCTTTTTTCGCTGAGTCAAATGTATAGACAAATGGGAGCCTGTCCCCAATTGGGGATGTACTCTGTGTGCCAGTGAATTTTGCATGCGCTTTTTCTAGGGATGTATCAATCACCTCTCTGGGATAGCCCCTTTGAATAAAGCGCTCTGCCATTTGTTCTAATTGTAGCCGTGCGGACCTCAGAGTCTGAGCAAATTCTCATCATTCTGAGAAACTGAGATATGGGTAAGTTGTTTTTAAGATGCTGGGGGTGTGCACTATCATAACGAAGGAGTGTGTTCCTGTCAGTGGGCTTTGTGTATACTGATGTGTGTATTCTGTACTCATCAATCGTGATTAGAACATCTAGGAACGAGATCTCACTGGCAGAGATGACAGGGTTGAAAACAATTCCGGGAAACAGCCCATTCAGAAAATCAACAAAGGCTTCAAACTCCAGGTTGTTCCCATCCCATAACAGAAAAATATCGTCAATGTACCTTAGCCAATCAACTACATGTTTAGAATATTGCATGGATTTGTATACAGAACATTCCTCTAGATGGCCAATAAAAAGATTGGCAAATGATGGTGCCGCTGAGCTGCCCATTGCTGTGCCACGTATTTGTTTAAACACTTTATTCTCAAAAGTGAATATTGGACAGCACAAAGTCCAGGCAATCAGTAATAAATGCAATGGGAATGTCATGTGGGCCTTCCTTACATAGGAAATATTCGACTGCTGCCATTCCTGCCATATTGGGGATGCAAGTGTACAAGGATGAGATATCCAGAGTGGCTAGTTTGTAATGCATGCCAATCGTCTTATGTGTGCGTAATCTCGTCAGAAAATCTCCCGTATCTTTGATGACAGCAGGGAGTTTGCGCACCAGTGGCTGTAGAAAATAATGTACCAACTGTGCCATGGGTTGTGTGATGGAGTCAGTCCCGGAAACTATTGGACGGAATGTCAGGGGATGGGTACCCTTGTGGATCTTGGGCAGCCCATATAGGACAGGTGTGCGTGCATTTTCATTAACGAGAAATGCAGCCACTGACTCCTCAATCCAGCCATTGGATTGGCCAATCTTAACCAATGATACCAGTTCATTTATTTTTTCATGCGTAGTTGGTTCATAGCTTGATGTGTCCGCCAATAGGGCTTTCATACCTCCACTATATTCATCATAGTTCATAATTACAATAGCCCCGCCTTTATCCGCAGGTTTAATTATGATTGTGTTATCATTATGTAATGCTTCAAGGGCATCACGGTCAAATTTGTTCATATTGATATATGCCATGGCGTAGGATTTATCCTGTGTTACATCGAACTTAACAGTCCGGGTAAACGCCTCAATATTGGAGAATTGGCCCGTGGGAACAAAATTACTTTTCACCCGGAAGGGTAGGCCACTGTGTATCGTAGGGGGAAGCATGCCAAAATGTTGTTTTAGTTTTAATGTGCGTTCATATTTGAATAAATCAACCTCAAACCCAAATGGGTCAAAATGTTTGGTGGGGCAGAAGGATAGGTCTTTGACCAGTAAATAGGTCAGGAGTGCAGCAAGATCTTTGATTCCAGCATTTTTGCGGATCGCACTGGACCGGAACGCAGGCACTAATGTGCCTGGGTTCCGGGTGCAGGCGATCGCACTGTAGACGAGGGGCCTGGCTGCGGTGCCATTGACTTCAATGCACCGCCACGCCCCTTCCCGCCCCTGAATGCAGGTGTTTTTTCATTGGTAGATCTCATTGAGCTCGTCATTTGAAAAGTAGATCTCCAGACGAAAAATTTTGGGCGCCCCTGACTTAGAGGGTTATTCACAAAGGCAGCCAAGTGAATAACCCAGCCGAAGTGAAGTGAACCGAACGCTGATCGGCTATTCACTGCAGCCTTGTAGGGTCAGCCGAAGACGCTCTGCATGCTCGGCTGTGGTGCAGAAGGACTTCGACTCAGCCGATCCAACATCTGAAATCGGCTGAGCCGAAGCTCCGGCAGCTCATTTGCTGCCGCTCGCCCCTATTCTCATAGGGGCCGAATGGCAGTGAGCGAATAGCCAAAGAGCGGCATTTGGCTCGGCTACAGCTCGTGGTATACTGAGACGCCTGCAGCCGGGACGGATCCCGATAATACTGTCGAGATCCACCCAGCTGCGTGATTGACAGCTGGCTCTGCCTATCTAGAGGGAGAGCCAGCTGTACCCGCCCCTCCCCCGTCTATTCCGCCAGTCTGCGCTGGAGGATCAGAGAGGGGAGGAGGGAATCCCTGCAGGGAGCTGTGAGTGACAGTCACGGCTCTCTGCAGGGACGTGAGCGAGCGACGGTATGTGTTCACTCACTTCCCGGTCTATTGAGCCGACATGTGACTCACACATCGGCTCCAACTATGAGGTGAGTGAAAATCACTCACCTCATAGTTCAGTTCTCCTTTAAGAAAAGACAGAGGCTATAAAGATTACAGGCCCAGATTAGCAGATCTCTGTCTTTTGGAATTTAAAGAGACTTGGCAACCTAAATGAAAGGTTGCATTTGCTTTAAGCTGGGGGGGGGGGGCAAGATAATTTCATATTTAATATTAATAGACTCAAACCTCATTATCGTCCCACAGAGATCCTCTGACAAAGTAGTGGGTGCTGTTTTGGCTTTGTGGAAACGGTACAACCTGATCTATGCCTTTCCTTCCCTGAAACTTCTTCATTGTCTGCCTCAGGATTGAGATGGAGTGTATTTTGGTGATGCTAATATCTCTAAACTGGCCCAGGAGGATGTGGTACTACGACCAGATCAGATTCCTTTGTTTTGTAGGCCCTTTCAGATCTACCAGGTCTTCCGCCTCAAGGACCTGTATACCATTCTGCTTCATGGAGGTTTGCTTTAACAGCATGGTGTTGCAGCCCAGCTTCTGATAGATTGGGGACTCTCCTACTTGGTGATTCCCATGGTGTTAAAAGCCAGGAAGTCCACTTCCCAGAAGATCTACTATTGCACATAGAAGGCATTCTTGGCATGGTGAAAGAATTTCCAGTAATTTGTCAGTGGGACGAATGCTGACCTTTTACAATCATGCTTGGATCAACAGTTGTTCCTGAGTACTGTACAGGGTCAAATTTCAGCATTTGTAATCTTATTTCAAAGAACACCAGCCTCCCATTCTTTTATTAGGACCTGAATTGGAGACTTTGTCCTGTATGGAACCTTTCTGATCTTTCACATGGACAGGGTGGGAAATTTGCCATTGCCCAAATCCTCCAGACATTGTGCTTCCACCACTCTGTCCACCCCCAGTACGTCAGAATGAGATTTTCCCTCATTATTTGGATATAGCTGTGCTGATCTACATCACAACTGCTGTTAGTCTCTTTTTCATCCCTGACGGTCACTTCAAAGGGGAATCAGCTTCTCGTTTTACGTGGCTCAGACAAATCATCATTTGAGCTTATAATCTTGGGGATTCAGTTCCACCCTTTCCTGTGAATGTACATTTTGCTACATTTGTGAGTGCTTATTGGGTTTTTTGGCATCAGGCAAATGTTTCCTAAATTTGCAAAATATATAATAAATGTATATTACTTGCACTCCACGGAGTCTGAAAAAGGTGTCAGCAAATACTGTGGTAATTGCCAAATGGGTCTGGAAGCAAAAGAATCATGCAGCACATTAAAACAACCTGAAATGTCTGTCAACTGCAAAATGATAACAATTTAACAGGATGCAGTGGCATTTTGCATTAACATTGGTAAACTTTAATAAAAGAACTCTAAAGTGCATGGAGTCTGAAGCACTGGGAGATGTTACCTAGCAGCCCTCTGGTCTCAGCAGCTGAACTGCTTGTGTCGCCAGGGAGAAATGTCCTGGATTCTCGCTGTACTGGAGCCAACCGGTGATGAAAAAGCAGTAGTGTCCTTGTGGCTCCCAGTGTTTTTATTTGCCATTGCCCAAATCCTCCAGTAGAGGGCTGTACAACCCAATTCTCTGCAACTCAATGGACTTCCAAGAAAGGATTTTAAAGTGAGTACAAAAAAATCAATGTATACTAATAGATTTACCACACAATATGCTATTGAGAGTTGATCTTACAGTGTTTTGAATACTTGAAATGCTGTTTTGGATTTATTTTAACATTAAACTGTTAAATATGTCTTTTTCTGTCTTTTTCCAGGTGTTTCTGGCAAAGCTATTCAGCTGCTTGCCAACCATGTTAAACTTATTTCCCTGCCTAAATGGTCCTTGTATCAGTATCACGTTGACTACAATCCACAGATGGAATCCAGATTTTTGAGGTCAGCTTTGTTGTATCAGCATGACAATTTGATTGGAAAAGCCCATGCTTTTGATGGAACAATATTGTTCTTGCCCATACAACTAAATAAGGTAAATAATATTACAATATATTAATATTTTTTTGCTGTCTGGTAATGTGGTAGTCTTAAATTGGAAGTGTATTGTCAAAAAAGTATATCTCAAAAATACACACACCTTTTACCATGTCCTGTCTTTTAAAAAAAAAACTGCAGCTACAGAGAATACCAGTTGATCAGCAGGAAATCTAGTTAGCTCCTGGCTTCCTATAGTGGATTGAAAACACTGCCTCTGCTGCACTGACATCCCAAGGATTATTGCCAACCCTGCTGTACTATAGAATATCACCCCTATCCCTTTAACATTAAGGGGGACAGAGGTGTTCTGTAGTCCAGCAAAGGTGAACTCTGAGTTGGCAGGGCTGACAAGACTCCTTAGGATTTCAGTGCTGTAGCGGCTGCGTTGTTATCCTACCACAGAAAGTAAGGAGCTCACTGGATTTCTGTGGTAAGATGGTATTTTTCTGCACCTAAGAAAAAACATGGAGAAATATGCACCTATTTGGAGATACAGTTTGTACTGATTTTTTTTTTCTATTTTGAACATAGTTAATGCAGTTCCTGGGACATCTGCATCTTTAAACTATAGACTGGGGCAGGTGACACAAGGTTGAAATACATAGAACACATGTCAAACACAAGGCCTGCGGGCCGAATTCGGCCCGCCAGGTCATTTCATGTGGTCCTCACACCTCTCCTGCAGCTGCGGCACCCCCCTCGTCTCTGCCCCCACCTTGTCTCAGCAGTCCACAGCAGAGAGGAGGACAGAAATCTTTGGTTATACTGACTAGGGATGCACCGATACCAGGCAATTTCATGAGTACTCGTACTCGAGTCACAGCTCGCGCCCCCCCCTAAACCCCCTCTTCTTCCTGTCTTAGCAAAGAGTATTTTGTGGCCTTTATGTCTGTTTTTGCAATGTATTACTGCTTTGATTCATCAGGCCTCTAAGATTGTAAGCTCTCTCTGCTTTCCCTTCTGACTTGCTTACGGACATGACTATAGCTATCGCCCTTTTGCCCGATGAAAGGAGGGGGGACGCGGAGGTTTGTACCACCACAGACCCTGACATATCCTCATAGGAGGCACTGCCTTTGGAATATTCTGGGACTTACAATGCGTGACACCATTTTGGTGTTCACTAATGATGTGTACCAGTATGGGATCCCTTAAAACAAGTCCATTAAGACCTTTTCGACACACTTTTTGGTAGAGAAAGTGTTATGTGCTGATTTGCCGCATTCTGAGAAATTATTCACTCTACCAAAGCAGTTTGCGCAGCAGTTCCAGCTGGAGGGGGTGGTCTTTAAAAAGTAGACTGGGCCAGAAGTGGGTGCCACAATCTCTTACCAGGTCTCTGTGCCAGTGGAGGATGTTCCGGCCCATAATAATAAATTAGACAGAATAGCAGAGTCTATGTTTGAAAAGGATAAAAGGTAGAGAACTTTATTGATCGTAGATCAAAGGACACAGTTAGTCCAATCTTTAACGAATGGGTTATGCAGCTACATTAGGTGATTGGCAAATCATTTAAAGCTGTAAGTCAGCCCTGTATAATCTTTCCCACTACCAGCCTGCCTACATCCTTTCCAGCTTTTCTATTGAAGATCCTAGCAAGTTTTCCTTAATGCTGCTAATGCTAACTGCAGCCTCCAGTGGGAGGACGAAGACTGGATAGGGCATATCCCCTTTAAGTGACCAGAGCATGGGAAGCTGCATAGTGTCTACACAACCACATGTTGGGGATTCCTACATGCATACCATTCTCCTTCTGGCACGTAATGTATCTGCACAGGCTGCACCTGTTACTGCTGCTGTGACACTGCTCTATCAATAGAGTCATGATCTCTGCCACCTCAACACTAGGTTACTGCACTGGATTGCTGCTGCTCACTTGGCATCCTCCCTGCTGTGAGTACTTTAATTTCTACTCAGGCAATGGCAGATCATATGCTCAGAGAGGCATGGGCGACTTCTAGCCTTCTGCTGTGCTCCATCTCCCCATGCTCAGTTACCTTCAGGGCACCTTATACTACCCTATCTAGGAAGAAATTTACTGCTGTAATGATAAAATTCATGGTGAAAATGTCTGCACATGTTAGTGGACTTTAGGGCTGCAACCAACTAATCGATAATAATTGATAATGAGAATAATTGTCAACTATTCTCATTATTGATTAGTTGGTTGGATCCCCTAGCTCTCAGCTCCGCGGTTGGAGGTGTTTCATCGGTCCTGTGTCCCCTCCAATCGGAGGGCACAGAAGGCAGTGGGTGTGTGCAAAATCCATTGCAAGCTATTGCACCAGCCCACTACCTGCTTTATTTACATTTAGCTGCCGTCTGCGGAATCTTGCCACTGGCAGCTGTCATTCCCTTGCTGAAGCTATTCCGGCGCCAAGTGCTTGCAGTACAATTGTTAATTTTAATTGCACCCTAAATGAACCTCTCACCCGCAGTGTGATGTAAACAAAGCTAGCAGGGTCTTGTCCTGTATTAAAAAGGGGATGTATTGCAGGGACAAGTCTATAATTTTGCCACTTTATAGATCATTGGTTCGACCTCATCTGGAGTACGCGGTCCAGTTCTGGTCACCAGTACTAAGAAAAGATGTCCTTTTGGGGGGTAGGGGAAAAAGTCCACCGAAGGGCAACCAAACTAATTAGGGGTATGGAGGACCAGAGCTACGAGACGAGGCTACTAAATTTAAACATGTTCACATTAGAGGTGAGGAGATTAAGGGGGGATATGATTTCCATGTACAAAATGTTTAATGGTGGTAGCAACATTAGCGATAAACTGTTTAAAATTAACTCCGTTACAAAAACTAGAGGCCATCACCTAAAATTGATGGAAAAAAAATTCCAGCACAAGGGGCGAAGGGGGTTCTTCACAGTAAGATCAGTTAGGGTCTGGAACTCACTGCCACAGGCGGTGATTTCAGCAAATAATGTGGAATTGTTCAAGAAACTTTTGGACGATTTCTTAAGGGACCGTAATATACAGGGGTACGGGTACTCCTAGAATGAGATCCTAATAGGTTGGACTTGATGGACTAATGTCTTTATTCAACCTCAAATACTATGTAACTATGTGATCGGCCGCACCGGAACGCGCGATACGGCAATGCCATGTGTTCCAGTGCAGTGCGATTGCAAAGAATTGTGCATGCAGTTTTATTGTGAAGTAAACTTTTTAAGACTCCATTTGTGTATTTTATTTTAAATTAAGTATGGTATATTTCTCTCGTTCATTGAAGGACACAGGGCAACAGATCGTAGATCCTGAATGGTAGGCTATATCGCCACCTGCAGGAGTAGGACGCTAGACTGCTTTGGTTTCTGGGCATCCCTATAGTTTGGGTGCTTGGATGACCTTTTCTACAGAGAACAGTTGGCGAAAGCCCTGTTGTTCATTATTTATCAAATGATACAAACCCTGCAGATCCTGAACCTCCAAGTCATCGCTGGAAACCTCCCATTACTTGGAGTACTTGGGCCTGGTCTTGGCACAGCTCTGTCCAGGGTCTTCTTTCCCGGGATGTTCTTATTCTTAGAGCTTGCGGTTCAGGAGTGGCCCGACTGTTCACTTTTGCATAATGGGGCTGGGCTTGATGGAAGCCTTCTATGAGGCAGTTCCCCATGCACAGTTTCACCCCAGGCAGTTGCAACTCAGCATCCTGGCTGCATAGGGCAAATAGGTTCAGTCTTTGGACTTCCCCAGTCACTTGCGCAGCAAAAAAAAAAAAAAGCTGCCTTAAGGTGGTGGATCTCCACCTTGGCATTGGAATCAGGAACATCATTCCTCCGGAGATGCTCATGGACCGATACTCACCTGTCAGACTGGGAAGGAGTCCTCGCGAACCCTTTGGTTTAAGGGACCTGGTCAATAGAGCAGTCTCAACTCGTGAGCTTCTTGGAGTCCAGGGCCATTTATTTGTCCCTTAAACGCGGGTGACCCCAGTTTCATTTTAACCTCTCATAAGGTCTGCTGTTGCACCTGAAAGAGTTGTTTTCTGGTACGAAACAAGGAAGTTGCATTCCAAAGATCCTCTGTTTGCACGTGTTTCAAGCTGTTTGGGGTTACCTCTCTTCTACAGCTTAAATCCTCAAATCTGACTCTTTGTCATTATTAAGGGTACGTGTATGGGCCAGTTAGCTTTTCACTCCGCTATCGCTTGGTAGATTTGGCCAATTATCTCTCAGGCCTGTGGGTTAAAGTGGAAGCACAAGCCTGGAGGGGATTGGTTTGGCAGGTAAGACTGCCATAATGTGCTAACATTCTGTGCATACTAGCACATTATGACTATTTTTAAATTCTACTTTACTTCTGCTTTAAAGGACAAAGTTCCTCTTTTTTCAGTTACAGCACATTCTACTAGAAGCATTCGTAGAATGATGCTTCCAGCATCAAGCTTTGGTCTTGCAAATCTGTAAATGTGCCATCTGGTCCTTTCCCATGTTTTACCAGGTGGATGTTTAGGCCCCTGTGAATGCTAGCTTTGGCTGCAAGGTTCTTTATTTGGCACTCTTATATGTGGTTAAATTCTGTTATAGTTTGCCGTTAGGGCAAGTTGTTGTTTTCACAGGTCTTTTAGTAATTGTTTGCTGTGCTGCTTGCCCTTCTGTGGGACTGCTTTTGGATATCCCATCCATTGAAGAAATAACTCCCTGTTCCCTGTGATGTAAGATCAAGAAACAGGATATGATGTTTGTCTTACCTGTCCATTTCTAGGAGTGCATCATAGGATCCGCTCCTCTGGTTTATTTGACCCACTTTTTTACTGCTCGTTAGACAACTGGGGCAGGTAAGTAGTGAAAGGGGTTATAAAGGGTTGTGTTACAGTTTTGATTGATTTGCCAGAGTACATCCACCTGACAATTGCACCAATCCATTGAATAATTAACTCCCTGTGTCCTGTGAGGTAGTCCATAAAATAAGATGTATCAGGTAAGTAACAAATACTCTCTTATGTATTTTTTCTTTAATTGGTTGCATACTGTGAGAATTCGCTCCCAATGCTCTTTGAAATCTCCCAGTTCCAGGAACCCAAGCCAAATCCAGAAAACCTGGGAAGAACTGCAAAGCCAGCTCTTTCCCAGGAAACGTTTGCGCTTTCTGGAACTGCTCAGCCCCCCGGGCTGAGAGACCTGGGTGACTATGTTGCCAAAAGACACCACGGCATTGCCACGCACTGCCACAGTACATATGGGATATTTTCCTGCGGTATAATTAATAACCTGTCACAAAGCTGGGGAATATGGAGCATGATGAAAACTAGGGAACTAGGGATACTAGTATCGGTGCCGATACCAAGTATTTGGGTGAGTACTCGTACTCGCCCAAATGCTCCGATACCTAGCACGAGTACTTCCTGTATCAGGAAGCCGGGCAGCGCATCATTACACGCTGCACGGTTTCCTGATTGGCCAGGAAACGGCTCCATGCTCTCTCGTCACTTGTGATGAGAAAGCATGGAGCCGACTTCCCGGCCAATTGGGAAGCCGGGTAGCGTGCAATGACGCGCTGCCGGCTTACCGATTGGTCAGGAAGCTAGCAAATCCAGAAGCCGGGCGCCGTGTAATGACGCAGCGCCCGGCATTCTGATTGGCCGGGAAGCTGGCGTCATGCTCCCTCGTCATCTCATGAACCATAATATTAAGAAAGTGACCTTAAAGCATTAGTTTGTATTGCTTTAGAAAAAATGTGACCTGTCCCTTTAAGAAAAAGTATCGGTAATTGGTATCCTTGAGTACTTGATCAAAAGTATCGGTACTCGTACTCGGTCTTAAAAAAGTGGTATCGGTGCATCCCTAATGAAAACATAGAGGGGGGGAATTTAACCAAAAACTGGAGAGTATCTGGACAGGGGTGTGGAAATTTTGGAAAAAACTACTTGTCCAAGGACTAAAGCGGGGGCCAAATCTACTTGTCCCTCATGACAATCTACTTGTCCTGATACAAAAAAAATAATTTTAACCAAAAACCCTCTGCTCCATCCCCGCTCTCGTCGCTCCACGCCCCCCCCGCTCGTAGTGCCGCTCTCGGCGCTCAAAGAAAGCCAGCCCTGCTACTTGTCCGTAGCAGGGCTAAAACAGTGCAAAAACCACTTGCCCGGCGCCCGGAACTACATGTCCCGGGCGTCGGGCGATACGAATTCCACACCCCTGCTGGAGCAGTTGCCCATATTAACCAGTCAGCTTTTCTCTTTAGCTTGATCAGTTAAGATTTAAAAATGAAAGGTAGGAGCTGATTGGTTGCCAGGCTTCAGATTTTGACTGCTGCAGTTTTGATAAATTCCCCTCATTCTACCAAAGCAATGGTCACCTTTGGTGGAATTTCCATATAACCTCAACTGCCTATCATTTTGATTTGCAGTTTGCACTAAGGCTGGGTTCACACCTAGGCGTATTGTAATATGCGTGTCTGTCGCGCGACCGTCACGCGGTTTTTTTACCGCGGTTCGCGGTAAAAAAAGTTGCGCGATTCCAAAGGCTACTTGGCTGTATCCCAATGGAAAACGCCCTACAAAACGGCCCAAAGTAGTCCCGGGACCTTTTCAGGCGTGGGCCGTTTTGTAGGGCGTTAGGGACGGGCGGAAATACGCCTAGGTGGGAACGAGGGCATTGACTACAATGCAATTTATATTTTTGACCGTTATGTAGAGCGTTTGTAGGGCGTAGGACGCGCTACAAAACGGTCAGGTGTGAACGGGGCCTAAAGGTAAGCTTCTTGTGTATCTTGTTTGCCTGCTTGTGACAGGTATATTTTAGGAATGTACTTCGAACAATTAAACATTTCAAGGTAAATGTTTATGTACCATTTGCTTTTATTTATATTTTAAATGTATGTTTTTCACTATCACATGAATATCATATGGATTGTAATAGGTAGATGTTTTTTTTTAAATTTAGGTTAACGAAGTCTTTAGCCAAACCCGCAATGGGGAAAATGTGAAGATTACAATTACTTTGACAAATGAGTTGCCACCTACATCACCTACGTGCTTTCAGTTCTACAATATTATATTTCGCAGGTTAGTTATATGTTTTTGTCTTTTTAATGTTTATTGGGTTTTTGAGTGTCCTGTGGTTCTGTTTTCTTAATAGGTTCTTAGCTGAACTATAAAGCAGTCAAGTATAGAAGTTCTGTAGTGCAATAAAGTTAAAGAATCAAAGGTTTTTTTCTATTGTTTATTAAGAGACAGAGCCCGTCCATTACATACAGGGCCGCATCAACATAGGGACGTTTGAAGCACCAGCTCCAGGCCCACCACTGCAAAAAGGGCCGAGCCGTTAGATTTACATATGAATGGATTGTGGTATTTACATATGAATGAGCCATGAATCATTCATATGTAAATTAGGCGGTTTAATTTATACACACATTATGATGCGCAAACCCCCCACCACCCGCAATTATAGAAGGTGGTACAGTCCGGTATTCTGGCATTGTCTCCACTTATGAAAGGTTTTTCACTTCAGCTGTCCTTCATCCAGTGTCTGCTTTATCTGTGTGGTGTCTCTGTGGTAACATGTCAGTGATCAGGGTCTGTCATATATGGGGAATATGGCCTACATTTTTTTTTTGCTTGCCAGTGTATAATGCCCTGTAGGTCGAACTATTTCCCGATGGTTAACAACTTTCTGTGTCCCTCAGTGGACTCCAAAAAAAAGAGGATTTCTCTTCTGTTCATTGAAGGACACAGCAAAGGCTGGAAGACGACCACTGGGTTATACAGCACAAAATACAAAAAACAATCTGGGGCGGCCCTGCTTTTGGCCAATTACATGTTTGCTAACACAGCGCCAGTTTTTTGCCTGGAGTCAAGGAGTTAGGACCTCTCAATCCTTGCTGGGATTCTTTTTTCTATAATTTTTTTTTACTTTCCAGAAGATTCTTTTCTTCAGATTTCTGAACTCTTAAATCAGCAGCAGGCTGGGTAACAAGCTGCATCTATAAAGATCCTTGTAGTCTTCCCAGTCCTCGCAGCAAGCACATGCAGTTCCTCGCCCTGGGAGGTTCAGCTGTAAGGGCTCCGTGTCTCGGTAGAGCAGCCTGTGAGAACTAACTCTAGGAGCACTTATGATCGGCCGATCCTGATGGACCAGTCACATTGTCCTTTTACAGGTGGGTGGCAGCTTAGTCATGGCCAGAGGTTACCTTTATTGGAGGAAGGCACCCATGTGGCTCCCTGGGTGGAGGGGTGGTTGGCAGGGACTGAAGTCTGCCCTGTGCTCAGCTACTACCTTCGTCAGTGGCAGGCGCTGGTACCCACGGCCTTCCCGCCATCACTTCTGCCCATGTGACAGTATGTTCAGGCACGTGGGGCGGAGCAGTGCTCTTGCCTCTGGGACACGCTGCCATCCGCACATATCTTCAAGGAGCACCTGGTCAGTGGGTACATGGACTGCGCCTTTCCTGCACTGTGTCTCCTCCTGGGGCCCCTCTCCTTTACTGCACAGCCTGGGTTGGTCAGTGTGCTGCTGCCACTAGCTTGTATGACTGAGCAGTCTGCGGGGTCCCTGATGGATGAGTTTTTGGGTAAGGGTAGTGACGGTTTTGGCTTGCCCTGTGGGAATACAACCTATCACCAGACTGGTAACCTCTGCACGCCTGCCGCTTATGTTCACACTTTGTCCAGATATACCTCAAATGCCTTGCGATCTTCTGCACCCCCTTGTCCTTCGAAGTGTTTTCTTTGGCCATAGTCCCTAAAACGTACTTTGTATCATGCCTGCACCAGGGAATATCCTTCCTCTGCTTCCCCTAATATGCCGGTGTCATCTGATTTCGAGCAGGATCTGTCCGGTAGTGAACAGGATCTGTCCGGTAGTTCTGTTAAGTAAGGATAGTGGACCATGTGCACAGTTGTTGGAACCTTGCTCTGACCTGCATAAAATCCCTTTCTTGGTTTCTCAGACATTGGCAGAATGGGCCAAGCCTCTCCATGATCCTATGTTGCTCCAGCTTACGCTGAGCTTGTGGATCAACTTGTACTGGGTGTCAAGTATTTTTTTAATGCTGCTTTGGATGCTGGATCTTTGGTATCCAAATTATATGTGTTGGCAGTTAATTAGAAGGGTTTTTTTTTTTGGCATACGAACTGGTCAGCGTACCAGGCGGATGCAAAAGCTTTTATGGAGCTGTCTTTTCAAGGCAAGACCGAGGTTTGGTGGAGTCTGATTCTGACCACGCCCAAAGCTCATAAGACTGCTTTCTGTAGGATTTCAGGGTAAGAGTCAATGGGCATATTAATGTATTTCTCCCATTTCTGCATGTAGGCATGAGTAGGCAAAGTCCTCCTAATTAGAACAAGACCATCCAGCAAGGACATCAAGCCCAGGGTGTGGGTAATTTTTACACTTAGGTTCAAATTCCGTAAAGGTTGCTCCCGGGGAAAACAAATGGATGTAATGAAACAATTCCGAGGCCAAGAGCGTATAAACTTTTTCAAGGATGGGAAATTATTTTGACCCGTCTGAGGTAAGAAGTTGAAAGAGATGATTTGTACAAGTTGCAACCCAGTGAGTGTGGTGCTTCTATTCCCAGAGGGAGGAATTCCTAAGAATTGAGAGTAAAAGACCATGTGGAGACATCGCACCACTGGAATATTAATGCCATCCGAGCGTATTGTAATGGGATTGCGCAAGGAACGAATTGTTTCTCAGATGCAACCATAGCAAGTTATCCACAGCCAATGGGTCACAGTTTAGTGTTTCAAGAGAAACCCACAGCGGTACCTCGGCTGTAGCCTGGAACTTCACCAAGTTAGCCAATTGGGCATCTAAGTAGCATTTATAAATGTGAGGTATTCACAGACCTCCATGTACCCTGTTGTCTGGACCTGATCTTTTATTTGACTTGAGAGAGTTAATAATGAACAGTACCTCAGATAGGGTTATAGGTGCATTCAATGTGTCAAAAAATCTTCCTCACTGGGGGGGGGGGATGTGTCCTGTCCTGAATAGAGAGCAAAAAGATGTTCAAACTCATGAACGATCAGTAGTGGGTTGCTAGTCAGGGTTGGAAAAGATGGTACATGCATGAATCTATAACCAGCCTTTATAGCAGGGCGCACATTGGGAAGGCTTACAACAATACAAAACACAAAAATTCCCCAGCCTCTGCCAGCCAGCCAGCAACCAAACAAATTGCCCTGTCAACAGTATGCGTTAAAATCGGAGGTTTTAGTTGCACAGACTTTTGGCCAAAAATATGTAGAAGCCACACTGCCGCGCCAAGGCACCTCTGCAAAGTGTGGTCCTAACTCTATGTCCCTGCACCTTATTAGGAGGAGTTGGCTACCTCCAGGTACACCTGCATGTAATTTATCGACTTCATTAATATGCTCACACTTGGAGACTCGGATACATAGAGTTAGGACCACACTTTGCAGAGGTGCTTTGGCGCGGCAGTGTGGCTTCTACATATTTTTGGCCAAAAGTCTGTGCAACTAAAACCTCTGATTTTAACGCATACTGTTGACAGGGCAATTTGTTTGGTTGCAGGCTGGCTGGCAGGTTGAGGCTGGGGAATTTTTGTGTTTTGTAATGCTAGTCAGGGTTCCATCCAAGGTCCACAAATGCACTGGTTTCTTGGTTGGATGCAGATGTTGGGGGTTCTCGATTGTGGGGTATATGGACGACCTTCTCCTGAAGGCGGAGTCACCATTCCTCTCTGATGGAGGAACTTGCGACGATCCGTTTTTGCATGCAGGTTCTGGGCCTCATGGTGGCCTCTTTCGAGGCAGTGCCTTACGCACAGCACCACACCAGGATTCTACAGGGGGACATCTTTTCACAATGGGACAGGTCTTCCTTGTCGTTGGACAGGGCTGTTCGGGCGACAAGGGTTTCCCTGGTTTGGTGGCTTCGGCCTCCGGCCCTAGTGTCGGGCAAATCCTTCCTTCCCCTAAGATGGACGGTGGTCACCACGGACGCCAGCCTTCTGGGCTGGGGGGGTCCTGGACGATGTAGGGTCGTTGGAGTCCCGCCTCTCGATCAACGTGCTGGAGCTTCGGGCGATCCGGCTCTCCCTTCTGCATTGGACGGACCGTCTCCGGGGTCTGTCGGTCTGAGTTCAGTCAGACAACGCCATGTGGTGTGGATCACGGTTTGGCCTTGAGTACGGTAAAGGGCCAGGTTTCGGCCTTGACTGTTCTTTTTCAGAGTCCAATAGCTTTCAACGCCTTGGTTCGCACTTTCGTACAGGGGGTTACACGTATTACTCCTCCTGTTCGATCCCCATTGCCACCTTGGGATCTGAACTTGGTGCTTTGGGTTTTGCAGAAATCTCCTTTCGAACCTTTGAGAGATGCTGCTTCTGACTTAGTCTCAAAAGGTGGCCTTTTTGGTAGCGATCACCTCCGTTTGCAGGGTTTCAGAGTTGGCGGCTCTATCTTGCAAGGGCTGTTGGGGCATCTTGGGCCTTTCGTCATGGTGCCTCGGTTTCTCAGGTTTGTAAGGCCACTACTTGGTCTTTTGTTCATACCTTTGCCAAGTTCCAGGTGTTGCAGGCGGCCCTCTGATGGGGTTTTCTGTTGGGGTATTGTTTTTTTGGGCCCGCCCCTCTGCCTGGTACTGCTTTGTGACGTCCCTACGGTACATGATCCTAGATCTGTTTCCTGTGTCCTTCAATGAACGGAAGAGAAAATAGGATTTTTGTACTCGCCGTAAAATCCTTTTCTCTCCGTTCATTGGACACAGGTCCCCCCCCTCTCTGTTTGGGTGTGTACTCCTAACTGGTTGCTACTTACTGTAGACTTGTCAGCAGGTAGGGGGGTTTGACCACCAGCAGGGGCCGCCACTACGCTGTAATTTGTCTTTAGGTTTGTGCCTAGCGTCCTTCTCGTGCAGGTGGCGATATTACCCTAGAGTACATGATCCTAGATCTGTTTCCTGTGTCCTTCAATGAACGGAGAGAAAAGGATTTTATGGTGAGTACAAAATCCTATTTTTATGGTGAGTAGAAAAGTCCAATTTTTACAATGAGCAAAAATAAAAATCCTGTTTTATTGTACTCAGCATAAAATCCCTTTCTCTATCAGTCATTAAAGAAACACATCACTAACCCCACCGCGACAATTTTTTCTGTAATCTGTTACCTTTTTTGCAGATTGCTACCATGGAGCAGGCTTTTTACATAGTTACATAGTTAAGGTTAAATAAAGACACGGGTCCATTGAGTTCAACCTATGTGGTTGTGTGTGTTAGAGGGGGGTTATAGCCTATTGGACTTTGATATTTTGCCAGGTGTCCTATCTCCTGTAGGCAGTAGTATAATCCATTGTATGAAATATACTGTATGGATGCTGTGTCCCTCTAAACATCAGAGAAAGGAATTATACAATGTGTATCCAGTATCTAGGGCTAATGAATAGGAAAACTTGCTAGTCTATAGTTAGGGCTTGTTCCCACCGAAAGCGTGTGCGTTCCAGAGCGGTAGCTGCTGGAACGCACCGCGATCGCTGTGAAACTTCCCCGCGTTTTGGGGAGGGGGCGTGGCGTTGTATTCAATGGCACCGCTTCCACGCCCCCCGCCTGCAGTGCGATTGAACGCCTGGCAAAACTTTGCCAGCGTTCTGTTTAACTACAGGCGCAAAAAAATAGGGCAAGTTTTGCCAGGCGTTCGATCGCACTGCGGGGGGGTGGGGGGGTTGGCGTGGAAGCGGTGCCATTGAATACAATGCAGCGCCACGCCCCAAAACGCGGGGAGAAGTTTCACAGCAATCACGGCTCCGCTCTGGAATGCACACGCTTTCGGTGGGAACAAGGCCATAATATAATTTTTTACACCTAGCAAACACTAAGCATTAGTTGTGGTTGGACTGGCTCTTAATTTGTAAACAAAAATTCACTGTATTACTAAGAAAAGTCTAATTGCATTAAATTTTTGTTTTTTCAGGCTGCTTAAATTGATGAACATGAAGCAAATTGGTCGCAATTACTACAACCCTGAAGATCCAATTGACATTAGAACACACAAGTATGTTCTTCATTATGTTCTTGTCTTATAAAAAATAGTACTGTGCAGTAGTTAAACCAGAGATTTATTTAAAAAAAAAAGGATTTGCGAGCAGGAAGAGATGTATAGTGTTTCTTCTCCGCAGACGTGTTTTTACAGGTCTCGGTAAACACCAAGTAAATAAAATATATGTATCTAAATTGGCTACCAAATTATATACCTATCTTTTCCTTAAAAAAAAAACTATATAAAATATGTTAGTGTACACCATAAAATATAATACAATTGTCACGCTACCATGTACAGGTATCTCTACAGGGGAATCAAATATGTGACCACACTTCAGATACCAAACAATTCCAGTGAACTATAGTTTATTAGAAAATCAACGCAAGCTTAAAAAAGCTACGCAAACTTAACCATGGGCTACTGGGAGCATTTCCATATCTGGCATAACAACCCCTTTTCCAAGCACCTAACCTATTATGGCCGTTACATAGACGACATCCTCATCATATGGGACGGCCCAATAGACACCATCTTTGAGTTCGTGACACACTGCAACTCAAACCCCTTTAGCCTCAAGTTCACCCATGTACATGATGATCACAAACTCATTTTTCTAGACCTTGAGCTCACTCACAGAGACAAGACCATCACCACCATCACACATTTCAAACCCACTGCTGGCAACTCATATTTACACTATGACAGTTGCCACCACCCCCGATGGAAACAAAATGTCCCGAAGGGACAGTTTTGGAGGTTAAATAAGAACTGCACCCTAAAGGAAGATTACCACAAGCAAAGTATTCACCTCAAAAACAAATTTCTAGAGAAGGGTTACCCCAAAAAACTTATAAACAGGGCACAAAAATCCTTCCTAACAGAAAACACTACACCCAAAAACAAACAACAAACGCAGGACAGTGCGCTAAGGTTCATCACACCCTTTAACAGCAAATTTAAAGCCATTGAGTCCATTCTAAGAAAAAATTGGCACTTACTCAAATGTGACCCCAAATTAGGCCCCATACTCCCACCAAAGCCCACTGTAGTTTTTAAGAAAGCTAAAAGCATCAAAAACATAGTGGCGCCCAGCAAACTCTCAACTAAGAAAAGCAAAACAAAAACCTTCTTCTTCAGCAACAGAACAGGAGTACATCAATGCAAAAAACTACTCTGTTTAACTTGCCAATTTATCACCCATGGCCAAACGTCGTTTACAGACAGTTCTGGGAACACATTTCCTATTAATCAATTCATCACTTGCGCCCATGTCGTCTACGGCCTAAGATGCCCCTGTAACCTTTTATACATAGGCCGTACCATCCGCCCCCTACTGAAACGCATAGGAGAACATAGAAGATTTATTGAAAAAGGAAGTACCAAACATAGCGTCCCACGTCACTTCCTTCACAAGCACCAGAAAAACACCAAATTCTTACAAGTTTTTGTCATAGAACAAATCCCGGATCGTTTACCCGCAGCAGAGAGATTCCATGAATTATGTAAACAGGAAACATACTGGATATATAAACTCAATACACGCTCTCCCCATTGCCTCAATGAGGAACTTGAAATTAGCACTATAATTTAATGAGATTACCTCTCTTTAGCATTCAACTGATAACCAGCACCCCAGCCCGATAGTATTGCACATACAATTCTGTCCTTTAAACTATTCCCCCACGCCCAACATCTCCGAATGTAATTTGAACACACCCCCTACCACTACGTCATAACCACGCCCCCGCCCGTCCGTTTAAATCTGCCGCCAAATCATCAATGAGACTGTCACAGGTCGGCTCAGTAGATCGGGAAGTGAGCGAACACATACCGGCGTTCGCTCACTTCTCGATCCTGTCACGGCTCTCTGCCGTGACAGGGGAGGGGCTGGATTCCCCGCTCCGATCCTCCAGCGCTGACTGGCGGAACGGAGGGGGCGGGTACAGCTGGCGGATCGGGGGGGGGCGGGTACAGCTGGCTCTGCCTATCTAGAGGCACAGCCAGCTGTCACACGCAGCTGGGCGGAACCAGACATAATTGTCGGCTTCAGCTGCGGCGTCTCTATACCGCGAGCAGCAGCTTGCAGTATACTGCGGCGTCTCAGTATACCGCGAGCTACAGCTCGCGGTATACTGAGCCTTGGGTGACGGGAGGACTCTAGTTTGTGTCCTCCCGTTACCCTAAGGAGAACTATGGGGAAAAGCCTTAACCCCATAGTTCTCCTTTAAGCTGGCCATACACCTATAGATTATCTACAGATTCTCTATGGTCAGATAGAAAAAGTGCAGCAGATTCCTCTATCTATGCTAAACTGTGTGGATGGAGGAATCTCCCGCTGGGCCAAGCTTTAGTATCTTGCTAGTCGGCCCTGCTGGTTCTTACCTGCATCCAATCAGATTGTTCAGGTATTTTGACAGCCAGCGAGGCTGACTAGCAAGATACTGAAGCTTGGCCCAGCGGGAGATTCCTCCATCCACACAGATTAGCGTAGATGGAGGAATCTGTTGCACTTTTTCCATCTGACCATAGAAAATCTGCAGATAATCTATAGGTGTATGGCCAGCTTTAGAAAGAAAAGGCTTGGGGACTTAAGATGCTTAGTAGACACCCTCAAATTTGGCACTGGAGTGAAACATTATTTTAATCTGACCTGGCTTTTTATTTTGAAATATTGGTAGGTACCAGCACTCTTAAAAGAAGTGCGTACGTGGGGGAGATATTTCTGCTGGACCGGTCTGAAAAGTTTTTCTACATGAAAATAAAGAAGTGATCTCTCGTCTCTGGTTTCCTTTGGATGTTACATCTAGGGGAAGAAAAATAGACATTGCCACCTGATTGTCCTTTTTGTTTTTTTTGAAAGGCTGTGCACCTTAGAGGATCTTGATGGGTGTCACTAGAGAGGCCCATAAAGGGACAGGGCAAATAGGTAGTGCATTTCAATTCCTTTACGAGGAAATTGTTGTGGTAGGGCTGGAAAGGAGAGGGACATTTGTTCTCTTGTGTATTTATAAGCATACTGCTAAGGCTGGTTAGTTGGTGCATGTTTCCTAGAAAGACATCTCCTATAATTACCCACACTAGGTATAACCTAAAGCATAAGGAGCATAGTGGAGACCATCAATCTGAGTTCTTGCATTGTGGACTCTTAAGATATGTTTCTCGAAGAGTAGGATTATCTGAGCCCGAGAATCAAGTTCCAGTATCAGATGTGCCTTATGTTTCAAATGAGCATGATTAATCTCTGCATCTGGTGTATAGATTTCAAATCTATGATTAGGAATCTGGTAGCATTTAAGAAGAGTCGGCAAGGACAGGCATGTTTGTCCATCTATGGATTCGACTTGGTGTCCAGATGCTCTCCCTCCACGGTCTCCAAAGTTTCTGCATAAGTTTTTAAGGAATAGGAAGTTCTGGGGCCTCTAATGCTGAAGATATCAAAAACAAAGGTTGAGCTGGTCAAAGCCCTTCTACTATGGTCATTAGGGATGCACTGATACTAGTATCGGTATCGGTGCCCATACCTAGTATTTGGATGAGTACTCGCCCAAAAGCTCCGATACCTAGCACGAGTACTTCCTGTATCAGGAAGCCAGGCAGCGAATCACTACACGCTGCCCGGTTTCCTGATTGGCCAGGAAACGGCTCCATGCTCTCGTCACTTGTGATGAGAGAGCATCGAGCCGACTTCCCGGCCAATCAGGAAGCCGGGTAGCGTGCAATGACGCGCTTCCCGATTGGTCAGGAAGCTAGGATATCCGGGCGCCGTGTAATGACGCAGCGCCCGGCATTCTGATTGGACGGGAAGCCGGTGTCATGCTCCCTCGTCATCTCATGGATCATAATATTAAGAAAGTGACCTTAAAACATTAGTTTGTATTGCTTTAGAAAAAATGTGACCTGTCGCTTTAAGAAAAAGTATCGGTAATTGGTATCTGCATGTACTTGATCAAAAGTATCGATACTCGGTCTTAAAAAAGTGGTATCGGTGCATCCCTAATGGTCATCAAGAAGTACTTAACCCCTTAAAGGAGAACTATGGGGTTAAGGCTTTTCCCCATAGTTCTCCTTAGGGTAATGGGAGGACACAAACTAGCGTCCTCCCGTCACCCTAGGCTCAGTATACCGCGAGCTGTAGCTCACGGTATACTGAGACGCTGAAGCGGATTCCAACAATTGTGCCGGGATCCGCCCAGCTGCGTGACTGACAGCTGGCTCTGCCTATCTAGAGGCAGAGCCAGTTGTACCCGCCCTATCCGTTCCGCCAGTCAGCGCTGGCAGATCGGAGAGGGGGGAATCCAGCCCCTCCCCTGTCAAGGCAGAGAGCCGTGACAGGATCGAGAGGTGAGCTCACCTCCCGATCTACTGAGCCCGACCTGTGACAGTCTGATTGTCACAGGTCGGCTAGAACTATGAGGTGAGTGAAAAGCACTCACCTCATAGTTCTCCTTTAACCCCTTCATGACTGAGGCCCTTTTTTCAATTTTTGCACCCATGTTATATTCCACATTTTAGGCCTGAAAATGACGTAAAACCCCCCAACATTATATATTTTCTGAATGCCAAGACCCTATAGAATAAAATGGTGGTAGTTGAAAATTTTTATGTTGCGCAATATTAGCGCAACTCCTTATTAAACCCCAAAATTTAGTGACAAATTTAATTAAATGCCCCAAAACACAACAAATTACCCATTTTTTTAATGAAATATAAAAGATGAGGTTACAACAAGTAAAACGATACCCAACATGCCCAGTTTACAGATTGCGTGCGACCGTGAAACGGCGAAAAACTGCAGTACCCCAAAAAGTCAATAAAAGACACTTTAAAAGCCCCCACAGGTCATCAATTTAGAAATACCCCAAAATACTGGCCCTAGGATTATTGCTCTCACTCCGGCGTGCGCGGCGATACCCAACATGTGTAGCGCGTTCGTCGTTTTCATGCGTAGGCGCACCCGACGCGTGTTTACGTGGCGACGCGCGTGCTCGCGGGGGCGGGGTACTTTTAAAATTTTTTTTTTATTATTATTAGATTTATTTTATTTCATTTTAATTTTAAAAACTGTTTTTTTTTTTTTTTTTACTTTACTTTGACTGCTATCACATGGGGGGGCTTGCAAGCCCCCCCATGTAATAGCAGATGGTGGTGACAGGTCCTCTTTAAGGTGATGCTGGGGGTCCAAAAGACCCTCAGTGTCACCTTTACACTAGAAATAAGCTATTGAAGTGCAGATCGCACTTCAATAGCTTATAGCTGGGCTGCAGGAGCCCAGAACTGACAGCCCAGGGACCGGAAGTGATGCAATCTGCATCGCTCCCGGTCCCATAGAACGGGGAGGGGATCGATGAACGGAAGTTCGTCGACCTCCTCCCCAGCTCCCTGCGGACACAAAGATCGCAGGTCCCGGGCCCGTAGGAGGGGCAACGGAGCCCGGGAAGCACGGCGGGGGGGGGGGGGCGGCGGGGCGGCCCCTTCTTCGGGACGCAGAAGCGATCTGGCGACAGGTAAGTCGCCAGGATCGCTTCTGTTGTAAAGCCGACAGTCGGCTCTACAAGTTTAAACAGAGTCCCGGCGGCAAAAGTCGCCGGGAGTCTGTTTAAACAGCCCCGATGCTGGCGACGTACACTGTACGTCGTCAGTCACGAAGGGGTTAAAGACCAAGGGCTTTTTTTTTTGTTTACATGATATAATCGGCATTTTAGGCCTGAAAATTACTTCAAACCCCAAACATATATTTTCTGAAAGCCAAGTGTCAAGACATTGGCGCAACTTATTATAAATCCCAAAAATGTAATGAAAAATTTACTTGAGTTAAATTTAGTGCCCCAAAACACTATATAAAATGCTTTTTTTAAATATAAAAGATGAGGTTACAACGAGTAAATAGATAACCAACATGCCCAGGTAAAAAATTGTGTGCGTCCGTGAAACTGCGACAAAATTCTGTACCCCAAAAAGTCTCTAGTCGAGCCCCCAAAAAGTCGTTCTTCAAAAGCCGCTACAGGTCATCAGTTTAGAGATACACATAAATATTGGCCCAAGAATGATTGCTCTCACTCTGGCGTGTGCGGCGATACCCAACATGTGTAACATGTGCAGCACAATCGTCATTTTCGTATGTAGGCGCACCTGAAACGTGTTTATGGGAAGACACACGGGGGACTTAAGTTTTTTTAATTATTTTTACATTTATTTTATTTAATATTTTTAAAACTTTTTTTTAACCCCTTGTCCTCGGCCCATGGTAACATTACGGGCGGACGGCGGATCCTTCCCGGCGGGGTCACATAAATGTACGTCTTTTTGCGGGCGCGCGAGCAGAAACCCGCCGGGAAGGATAACAGCTGTTACCGGCTGTCTCATACAAGCGTTCGGCCGGCTCTATAGTCGGCCGATCGCTTGTATAACCCTGAAATGTGCGCCCCTCCCCCTCTGTAGCTGCTGCCGGTTATCCCGGGCACCCCTGCGGTGCCCGGGACAGGCACAGCGGCTGCTCAAAGAGAGAAGCAGATCTCTGCTTCATCAGCTTTTGTCCCAAGGTGACATTAGGGGTTTTGGGGAAGCCTGATGTCTCCATTAAGAGGACCTGTCATTTTTTTCTAGCTATCACATTGGGGGCTTCTTAGCCCCCTATGTCATAGCAATCAAGTTAAGTGTAAAAAATAAGTTTACAATTCATATTTTAAATCCATGAAACCAATTAAAACGTCTAATATAATACATACAATAATTAAGAAAAAATATTAGGGATGCACCGATATATCGGCCTCCAAAACATATCGGCTGAAAATGGCACTTTTGGCATAATGCCAAAAGTGCCATTTTCCTGCCAATACATCGGCGCATCCCTGCTTTCTGTCCTCCCCGATGGGCGCTGCTCTGTGTCCCAGCGAGGAGGAAAGAAAGTGTGACAGCCTGCCCAGCGATGCGGGAGGAGAGCGGTGAGCGGCCGGCGTCTCCTCCCACACTACTCAGCCTCCTATCACAGTCCAGCAGAGCGGCGTGTGGGCGGAGACAGGCCGCGCTGTCACAGGAGGCTGAGCTCTCCCTGCACCACTCGATCAGCCTCCTGTGACAGCGTGCCTGAGAGGAGAGCGAGGTACAAACACTAAGTGATCGCTGAGTGTTTGTACATAATTGAGGATATGGTATGTGGACTATATCCTCAATTATGAATGAATGGGAGTGAGCTACATCACCTCCTGTTCATTCATAGTTGTAGTTATAGTAACCATACTCTGTCCTCATGTTATCAATGAACAGGAACACTCATAGAGGATTCCTGTTCATTGATAACAGGGGACACCGAAAAAGAGATAGAGGACTTTGTGTCCTAAATCCCTTTTTCTATTTTAAAAGAGAAATATCAGGTGTCCGTTTAGACCCCCAATAATTCCCTGAAGTCCCTAAAAGTAATGTAAAAAATAAAAATATGTAATAAAAAATTAATTAATAAATATAAATAAATTAAAAAGTTTATAAAAAATAATATATTTGAAAAAATTTAAATTAAAAAAATTTCGGTTTCGGCCTGACAATTTTTGTTGTTTTTTTTTGGTTTTAAAATTTCCATTTCGGTGCACTTCTAAAAAATATAAATAAAGTGGTGGGAAAAGTAATTTTCAGTTTTGGCCTGACAAATTTTGCTGCTGGAGGTGCGTTGTGATGCCATTGGTTTCAATTGATCCCAAATGCACCTCCCATCTGCAGTGTGATCGCCCGCACTGGAACACGCGGTACTGCAATGCCCTGTGTTCCAGTGCAGTGCGATTCAAAAAAATGTGCATACCATTTTATTCTGAAGCAAACTTTATGTCTGTAATGCTGCATTTGTGTATTTTATTTTAAATAAATGAAAGTATTATTAATTTTTTTAATCCGATTAATCCAAGTTAATAATCGGCTAACTAATCGATTATGGAAATAATTGTTAGTTGCAGCCCTAGTCTCTATTCTCTTACTGTAATCCAGGTAACTGAGATTTTATGTCAAAAAAACTATTTTAAGTCAAAAGTCCTTTTAGGCTTAAAGATGATTAAAAACCTCCCAATATTTTCTGAAAGCAGAGACCCTGTAAAAAATGGTTTCCGTTTTAATTCTTCATGATGTTGCACAACATTAGTGCAACTGTTTATCAAATCCAAATTTTCAGTAAAAAAAAAAAAACTTACAAATTAATGTTAGTGCGGGCGCAAAATCCATATAATACACAGATTTTTGGTAAAATGTACAAAAAGAGGTTGCATCACATAACTAGATCCCAAACAAGTGAATTTGTGTATGCTATTGAAAGTACCCAAAGCTGCCCATGATGATTTGATGATGGCGATCACCTGACGATGATTTGAAAGCCTTTACAGGTCATAATTGTAGAGTTAACAATAAATTACTGAACGTATGTTTGTGATTGAATATGGGTGGGGCTTTTCATTTTTGTCAGTTTTTAAATTTTTTTATTGCTTTATAAATATTGCTAATATTTATTTGCTTAAAAAATAACTATGGGGTAACCTTTTTATCCCATAGTTCTCTTTAGGGTCACGGGAGGACATATACTAACCTCCTCCCGTGACCCAAAGCTCAGTATACAGCCGGCTATGGCCGCTATTTACTGAGAGCGCTGCAGCGGGGACCGATCCCTACTATACTGTCAGCGCTGGAGGATCAGAGAGGGGTGGGGGGCAATCCCTACGGGGAGCTGTGACTGACAGTCACCGGTCTCTGCAGGGAGATGATCGGGAGGTGAGCGAGCGATGGTATGTGTTCGCTCACTTCCCAATCTATAGATTCGACGTGTGACAGTTTCATTGTCAAACGTCGGCTCTAACTATGTTGATGAGTGTAAATTGCCCACTTCATAGTTCTCCTTTAAACATTAAACAAAAAAACTGACAAGGGGTTGGGCCATATTGCTGGGCATGTAGACATAATCAGGTGACCTGAATCACTTCCACTAGAAACTAACTATAGCAGCCAGACGTTTGTAGAAGACTGCGCTGCTGCCGACATATACATCAGTGGCAGCAAATCCTTTGTGGTAGACAGGTGTCCACAAATGTAGTTATATAGTGAATTTCTTACTGCACAGATTTTCGTTAACTACCATTCTTCTTTTTCCTTAGGTTAACTATTTGGCCTGGCTTTACAACCTCTATTTTGCAATACGAGACCAGCATTATGCTGTGCATTGATATAAGCCATAAAGTTCTTCGAAGTGAAACCGTTTTGGATGTCATGTACAACTTGCATTCAAAAGTTGGAGAGCACCACTTCCATGATGCTTGCAAAAAAGAATTAATCGGACAGATAGTACTTACCAAGTAAGTTTTCCAACTATATCCTTTGTACAGAAACCTGTAACATTCTTAGTGGTCTTTTCTTCTTTGCTGAATACTAACAGGGTTATTCACAAAGCTGCCAAAGGCAGCCGAGTGAATAAGCGAGCCGAAGTGAACAGAGCCAAACGACGTTCGGCTATTCACTCCACCTCAGTACGGCTGATGTCAGCCATACATCGGCTGCCTTCTGTCAGCTGAACATGCTGTGCATGTTCGGCTGAGCCGAAGTGCAGAGGTACTTCGACTCAGCCGATCCAACATCTGAATCAGCTGACCTGAAGCTCCGGCTGCTCACTCGCTGCCGTTCACCTCTATTCGCCTCAGCTATTCAGCTCGGAACCTCTGAGGTACAGAGCAGAATAGAAAAGAGTGAAAGAAAAATAATAATAAAAAAAGAACAACAATTGGGCAAAGCTAGCAGTGACATCCGGCCAATGAATAACAACTGGGCGAAGTTGTTATTGTTTAATGACAGATCAGTGTCCCCAGGTCACTTGGGGACGCTGATCTGTCATTATAACTGGGCGGAGCGAGCTGTGAGGTCACGGCTGACTGCCCAACTGTCATTTGCTTAGTTAGGGCAGAAGCATATGCCTTTGGCTCGGCTCGGCCGCCTTCAGCTGCTGTACGGGCTATTGTGAATAGCCTGTACAGCAGCCCTTTAGTTCGACTGAACCGAAGGGCTCCGGCAGCCAAAGAGAGCCGAAGCTATGCCTGGATCCTTCGGCTCTTTGGTGAACAACCCCCCAAATGTAATTTCTTGTCCTTTGAGGGACACAGGAAGTCTTTAAAAGAGAACTATGGGGTAAGTGTTTTCCCCATAGTTCTCTTAAAGGCCACGGGAGGACATAAACTAGCGTCCTCCTGTACAGCTCCCGGTATACTGAGACAGCCGCAGCCGGGATGTATCCGACATTACTGTCGATCCACCCATCTGTGTGAGAGATTATCGAGAAGTGACTGCGCGATGGTATATGTTCGCTCACTTCCCGGTCTATTTAGACGACGTGTGACAGTTTCATTGTCAAACATTGGCTCGAACTATGAGGATGAGTGATTTTCACTCACCTCATAGTTCTCCTTTAAGTTTTGGGGTTATAATGCCACTTATAGGAGGATTGAACACTGCCAAACAAAAATACTGTAGGCCAGTCCAAGAACACCCCCCACTACCACCACAAGCATTTTGCCGGTGCCCTTGTAGGATACTTTTTTTTTTTTAAGCCCTGTTGTTTGAGAGACTTATTTTTTTGCTAGCACAGTTTCCCCCGTTGATTTTTTTTTCTTCAATCAAGACTCTTCTCCACATCACTGTTAGAGCTTTATATCTTTAAATGCAGCTCATTTCATCTTCAGCCTGGTCTTTGAGGTGTTATGTTTGCTGGAGTAGACGTGGCAGGGATAGCCTTAAAGTGACCTGCGGGTACTGGTTTCTATGAAGGATGTTTTCAGACTCCTTTCTGAAAAAAAGTTAACAGCTTACCCCCAAGGAGTCAAGTTCTACTGCTATTACTCACAAATATCCACCCTCTAAGTAGTACCCCTAGTCTCATGGGGCTGAAGAGCACTGACCCTTCTAAAAATCCCTGTGCCCCCCAAAAATCTTTTTGGGCCTCCAGGGGTGTGGAATTCCTATAGTCCCGACGCCCAGGACATGCAGTTTCGGGCGCTGGGCGAGTAGTTTTTTGTACATTTAGCCCTGCTCCGGACAAGCAGAGCTAAATGTACAGTTAGGAGCCGCCGCTCGTTTTCATACAAGTGATCTGATTAGACCACTTGTATCAATCAAGCAGCGGCGATCGTGTCTGTGCCCCCCGTCCCCTGCTTCTCCAAGGGGCCTGAGACTACGGCACATGAGCTCACTATAGAGCAGATGAAGAATGTCCAATTTTCGTCTGCTCTGTGTGATCACTGAGACCGGAGCGCTGTATTGACAGCACCATTTGTCTTAGCTGTCAGGAACTGCACAGAAGATCTGTTCTGTGTTGGAGGGCAGGTTCCATAAAGAGAACCTGTCACCTACAAACTATCACAAACTATGTGATAGGAATAAAATCAAGTGGTAAAAAATAATAAACATTTTAAAAATTACAAAAAGTAAAAAATTATAAAATATATAAAAATTTAAAAAAATAAAAGTGATAAAGTAAAAAATAAAATGAAAACGAACCCCGCTGCCCTTCCATCTGCATGCAAATAAACGCACACGTAGGAGATTGTGCGTGTGCGTTGAGTGCTGCCGCCATTCCACTGTGTGCCATCTTGTGGTAGCCAGGCAGTAGAACGTTGTTACGCATGTGCATTAAAGGGTAAGTACACTTTTCCAGGTCATATGGGAAAATGGAATTACCCGATCAAATCTGGCCTGGTCTCTTCCAACCCCTGGCTTTACGTGCCTTTCGGCGAACAGTCCTTACCCTCTGCCAGTACGGGTGTACTATCTGTAGCTATCTATCAGCAGTCCTGCCCTATGTAATTTCGCTCGCAAATTGCAAGCACTCATTGGTTGACCACACTGACCAATGAGAAGCGCTATTTAGCACAGTCAAATACAGTTTTAATTAGGAATGCACCAATACAGAGAATTTGGGCGAGTACTTGTACTCGCCCAAATGCTCCGATACCTTCCCCAATACCGGAACTTCCTATCAGAGGAAGATTTCCTCTGACTGGCAGTGCTGTAGGGGAACATGGAGCCAGCTTCCCGTGCAATCAGGAAGCGGGGCAGCGACTAATGACCTGTCTCCCGGTTTACTGATTGGCCGGGAAGCCAGCTCTTTGCTGATTGGCCGAGAAGCTGGCTTCCGAGCCAATCAGCATCAAGCCGGCTTCCCGGCTAATCAGGTCATTACTCGCTGCCCGGTTTCTTGATTGGCTGGCTCGATGCTGATTGGCTGGGAAGCTGATTTCCTGGCCAATCACAATCAAGCCGACCCAACATCATGGAGTCGGCTTCCCTGGCAAGGAAGATGTGCGGCTGGACCCCATAAGGTGCCCAGGAATCGGGAATGCCCGAGGTCCACCAGTATCGGCAATTAGTATCGCAGCATTTTAACAAGTACTCGTTAATGCCCAGTATCGGCACTGATACCGATACTAGTATTGGTATCAGTGCATCCCTAGTGCTTATAATGGTCAACTTTTATTCATTTATATAAAACCTTTATCCCAAAAGGAAACCAAACATTTTGCTGTAACTGTTTAAAAAGTGTTGGGGTTTGGATTTAATTTGTGAGTCAAGTCCATCTAAATTTGCTAGTTCATCTAAATCTACCCTCTACACAGAGTGACAGTGCTGCTGTCCAAAGGTGGCTTCATTGCTCCTCCAGTGGAGCCACCCTAAAGCTAGTGTAACGGCCACCGCCGTAGACCTTAATGTTCGGGAACCAGCCGCGTCTCGGGTCCGCCGCTGCGTTCCACGGTGGAACGCACGCTCGTCACTTCCGGGTTCGAAGGCCGGTGTGCGTTCCACCTTGGAACGCGGAAGTGCGCCGATCCGTTCGGCGGCTCCTCCCCACACAAATACAGCACTATATAAGCGCCCAGACGAGACAGCATGGCGTTCCACTATTGAGCCAGAACGCCTGCTGTCTCCTGGGACCCTCCATTGCCTCCAGCCTCCAGTTCTTCTGCCTGCTACCCTGTCTGGAACCAGACCCCAAAAGGACCCACAGGTCTCCACCTCCACTCGAACCCTCAAAACCGCAAGTATTTAGTGCAGTTGCATACCCTTCAGTAAAGACTGTATACTTTACCAGCTTTTGCTTTAAGTCTTGCTACTTGCCTCGAACCTGGACCATTGCTGTACTGAATTGTGTCTCTCTCAACTGCTACCCAGTATACCCCGATTACTTTGGTGCTCGGGTTAGGGCTTATGAAGAAATAACCCCACTCTAAAACCAGAGATTAGTTTACATTAAGGCTGTGATGCAAGAAACCCTAACTCTCTGTTAATTAGACAGTGAAACCAGGGTTTCACTGACTGAGAGGCCTCCGCAGTTGCGATCCACAACCCCCACATCCTCAACAGGCGTGACAGCTAGCCACACACCTATAGATTACCTGCAGATTTTCTATGGTCAGATGGAAAAAGTGAAACAGATTCCTCCATGTACGTTAAACTGTGTGGATGGAGGAATCTTCCGCTGGGCCAAGCTTTAGTATCTTGCTACTCAGCCCTGCTGGATGCTACCCAGTATACCCCGATTACTTTGGTGCTCGGGTTAGGGCTTATGAAGAAATAACCCCACTCTAAAACCAGAGATTAGTTTACATTAAGGCTGTGATGCAAGAAACCCTAACTCTCTGTTAATTAGAGAGTGAAACCAGGGTTTCACTGACTGAGAGGCCTCCGCAGTTGCGATCCACAACCCCCACATCCTCAACAGGCGTGACAGCTAGCCACACACCTATAGATTACCTGCAGATTTTCTATGGTCAGATGGAAAAAGTGAAACAGATTCCTCCATGTACGTTAAACTGTGTGGATGGAGGAATCTTCCGCTGGGCCAAGCTTTAGTATCTTGCTACTCAGCCCTGCTGGCTCTCAAAATGCCTGAACAATCTGATTGGATGCAGGCATTGTTTAGGTTGTTGGATGGAGGAATTAGTTGCACTTTCTCCATCTGACCATAGAAAATCTGCAGAAAATCTATAGGTGTATGGCCAGCTTTAGACAAGACGTGTGTTACTGGCCAGAACATCATGTGAAAAAAAAGAAGCCTAATAAAAGAAAACTAATTCACCAATTGGGTTAAGATACTCTTAAATTCCTTTGTTCCTCAATGGCCTTGTGGTAAGTACAAAAATCCCATTGTAACAGTCAGATTTACTTTATGTATGACCATTGCTCTGCCTTTCTAACCACACAGGTACAACAATCGAACATACCGTATTGATGATATTAACTGGGAATTTACTCCAGAGTCAACATTCAAGAAATCGAACGGCAGTGATGTCTGCTTTATTGACTACTACAGAACAGTATGGCAATCTATATAACAAAGCACTTAAACTATTCATTTGTTTGCATCATTAAATATCTTTATGTGTGCTACATTTTGATATTCTGTATACTGGAGAGACTGTAAGCAACATGCCTTCATTGTAGGGGCAGTGTAGTCATATTGACAGTTTCAGCTTGGAGTGGTTGAATGTCAGTACAATACTGTGTAGAAGGAACTTCTGATGCATTTGCATGTGGATGTGCTGTTGTAGAGTCATACCACACATTAAAAAGTTGTTCTATGTAAGTGTAAATGGGGTCTAAAAAAAGAATACCCTCCATTAGTTTCAATTTGCTTTTCCAGATTCTATTTTTTTTTCCTACAGAAAGGTCTTCCTCGGCTATATTTTCATGGACAATATCTGTATATAAATTTACCTTTGCTTAAATTTCCATGCATTCTTACTTAATAGCTTAGATCTTTTTAGAAGGTACCTGTGGTAAACCAAATAGTGAGATTCTTTTTAGTTGGTTCCCCATATAATGACTTTCCAAATCCTCTCCCAGTCTGGTCCACCCACTACTGCATTTCTCAGTGCAGTGTGCACACCTCTTTACCCAGCACAGAGGCTTGCATTGCTTTTTCTTGATCGTACAGTACAGGACACAGACAGATTCATAGACTTAGTAATATGCAGGTATCATCAGGTGATTCTCACACTCTGAGAACCCTTATATAACCCTTCCCATGGCAGGAACTCCACAGTTCTTTGCTAGTGTCCTTAGGTGATGTAGGTCTCCTCTCTCCTGAGGGAGATGTGGTAGTTTAGTTATCTCTACACTTAGTATGTTTCTTCAATCACGATTGTTTGGCTACGGGTACCTTTCAAGCTTCCACTACCGGGCTGTACCCAGACCCCACCGGACTGAAGACACGACTTGTTATGTTCCTTCAGGCAATGAATTGGATCCTGTTATTTTTTCTTTAATTTTTATGTACACGCGCTCATTTTCTCCCCTTCCCCCTTTTGCGGCTCCCCTTCCTAGGGTTTTGATATTTTTATTAAATATTTTTTTCGGTGATACTTTTTATTTTTTCATTTATAGTCCACTTGCTTGACATGGGGCTGCCCAGCCATCAAAGCTAGCGTCCTCTCAGTCTGCAACGCGCAGCCGCCGCTGAGATCCCCTGTTGGGGACAGTGCACTTTCGCCTGCACTCCAACCACGCTGACTGGTCCCCATGGCATCCTATGACGCGTCCGCAAATACAGCTGCGGTGCCGCCTATTCTTTCTACCAGCTTGTCTGGCAGCCATTTTCTTACTTTTTTCGATCTACTATTATCTTCTTTCATCTGGCCCCCTGGTGAGTGTTCATCTTCTTTTCATTTTGCATATGGCAGTCTGTGTATATGTACTGCTCGATTTCTCCACACCTCGGTGGTGTATTATTGTTTTTGTATCTTTTTTGTTGTTGTTTTTTTAGTTTCTGGCAGGCTGTGACGTCACTATGACGTCAGGGGGATGTTCCTAAGCATTATGTAATGATGTGGGGGTATATACTCACCCGAAGCTCTGAGCTGGCTTTCTTCTAGGCCCGATGGTCATATCTATTTTGGACTGGTACAACTGTAGCATTCTGACAGCGTGGGAAAAGCAGACGTTCCCTATATCAGTGGTTTTCAACCTGTGTAACCTCAGGACCCACATTAGTCCTTGGTCATTCAGTCGCGACCCAAGTTGAACTGCAATGGAACGCATGGCATGTGGTACCGCACGTTCTGATGCGGGCAATAGAACTGTGGGTGGGAGATGCATTTTGGATGCCATTCAACTGAATTGCAATGCAATGCACTCCCACACCAGAATGTGCTGTGACGGAGCGCCATCCATATGTGTATCACCTGTAGAGGTGCCAGGAGCCAGAATGTAACACCCCCTCCCCCGGTCCAGGTACCTCTATAGGACACGCAAGGGTGCTGTAATGGTTGCTTGGCGCGAGAACTGACAGTGCTGCGCCATTGGGGGAGGCTGAGGAGCCTCTCACCTAGAAAAGTGTAATGCATGCTGCGACCCACTGAACACGGGATCGCGACCCACTTTTGGGTCACGACCCACCAGTTGAGAACCAAGGCCCTAGACCATCCTTTTTTCTGTTAGCCAAGGCAAGGGACTCTCTCACTTGTATGGTGGATTTTCGATTTGGCAATGGAACCCCCGGATATCCTTCATTAAACTTTGGTGGACTGTGACGAACTCCAGCCTGTTGGACTGGGGAGGTTTTCTTGGGAGACTAACAGTCCAAGGAACCTGGCTGTCAAGGTAATCCATACAGTTGATCATCATTCTGGAGCTGAGAGTGATTCGTCTCTCCTTTATGCATTGGATGAGCCACCTTCAAGCGCTACTGGTCAGGGTTCAGTCCAACAATGCTACAAACGTGGTGTGGTGTACTTAAACCACCAAGGAGCTAGCTGCACAGCACAAAAGAAGAAAATCTGATCTTGTCTTGGGCAGAACTTCATGTTCAGACCTTATCCAACGTGTACATGCCAGGAGTGGACAGTTGTCAGGTGGACTGTCTCACCCAAAAGAGGATGGACTCTTTGCGTTCAGACTGTACAACAAGTTGGACAGGATTGTATCTGTCAAGCGCTGACAGGTGCGCTTGAAGGGAAGCAGTGAGGATGGGACCCACTGGCAGGTAGCAGCCTGAGAAATCCAAAAGTGAGGTACCAAGGGATAATCCAAAGGAGTAGTCGAGCAAGATCCGAGGTCGAGGCGGGAAGCAAAGGGTCAGAGATGGTGGCCGGTCCAAGGTCAGTACACGGGAAGTCAGCAGGAAGTTCAGTAAACGGGTAGCAAGGCACATGGGAAGCTTTGTATGTCACACCATAAGGTGGAATAACTCAGCTCTAACCAGGTTTTTATAGCCAGGGGATTTGAGTCCACCCCCTGGTCTCCGAGGCGACTAGGAGGCTTCCCTTCCCGAGGGCCAATGGCAGGCGAAAGGTGTGTGTGGGCTGGGGAACCTCCCCCAGCAAGGCCCACATCTGAAGCCTAAACAGGTGCATGCGCGTTGCGCACGCATCCCCGGGCTGCGCGTGCAGTCTGTGCTGCGCAACCGTCGCTCGGCACGCACAGTAGCTGCTGGGGCGCCCGTCTGCCAGGCGGAAGGGAAGTCTGTACCCTACGCCGTACCCTCTGGCCTCGTGGGGAGGTGACGTCCCTGGCTTCCTGACAGTATCCTAGTCCAGAGGTTGTGTTCCTTGCCGCCATCATTCCTGCTAGGAGGGTCTCCGAACTGTCTACTCTTTCATGTAAAGCTCTGTTCCTTGTTCTTCACAAGGATAAGGTTGTCCTTTTTGTCTAAGGTGGTATCCTCTCATCTTATTGAGGATATTGTGTTGCCTTCCTTTTGTCTGACTCTGAAACATCCCAGGTAGTTGGCTCTCCAATGTTTGGATGTAGTTAGGGCTGTCCGAGTATATCTTCCTGTTACAGCTCATTCCTGACAGTTGGGTTCTCTTTGTTCTTCCCTAATCTACCATTTCTAGGTGGTTTAGGCAGGTCCTTTTGTATGCTTGCACTGTCAAGTTTAAGACCCCACTTTTTCTTGTAAAGGCTCAGTTGTCAGTGCCTCTTGGGCTTTTAGCCTTCAGGCATTTGCATTGCAGATTTGTAAGGCTGCCACCAAGCCTTCTGTTAACACCTCCTAGTTCTGCCAAGTTGATGTTCGGGCTTCTGCTGATGCGAGTATCGGTATTAAGGCGTTAAAGGTTATTTGAGTTGGGGTTTCCCCTTGTTTTTTCTGTTATTTAGGCCGTTAGCAGTTGTTTTGCTGTGCTGCCTACTCCTCAGTGGACATCCCAGTCCTCTTTGAATCTGTCTGTGTCCTGCACTCCGCTGAATCAGTTTATTGATAGTTTGTTAGTGACACCAAGGCCCCCTCTGACATATTTCACCCAATCCTGGGCTTAATCATCCCTATGACTAAGCCCAGGATTGGGTGAACCATGTCAGAGGGGGTGGACCACAGACAGGACTCGGTGTCACTAACGAACTTTCAATTAACTGATTCAGGGTGGAACGGAGTATGGTCAGATTTTTCCTTTACTATATACCTATTTGGTTGGAGCAAGGACACTCCTGCCAGCGAGCACCTAGCTGTCTTTCCTCTGCTATGGAGGAGTGGTGCTTTCTTTATATGCTTTGGTCCTGTACTGTACAATTAAGAAAATACAGTTTGTGCCCTTTATTGCTCCCAAAAAAAAACAGGATTTCTTGAAGGGGGTGAGTTTATATGAGGGTCCTCACAAGTCTGGCCAGTGTTCTGTAATGTACTCTTAAGAAATTGATTTTATTGACTACATCTCATTGCTTGGAGTACCTGGACCTTTTCCTGGATACTTTTCAGGCCTCTCAATAACTTTACAAAGGTACATTCCAATGGCTTGGGATAAATCTGGTCTTTCTCTTGACAAGATAATCTGGTTACATCCTCTAACCAAGGTATCTCTGTCATGGTGACTTCTGTCCCTGGTAAAGACTTACAATTTCTGTCAGGTTTTTATGTCTAAAACTATTTGGAGAAATTTTACTTCATTCCTTTTCCAATGAGGCTCAAAGTAGAAATGGAGAGTAGGGGCTTCACTGGTACAGGTTGTTCTAACCCTCCCTCACGCCAATAAAAATCTGATTGTGCCTGTGTCTTCATGCTGTAAAAGATTCTCTGACTAATTGGTCCAAAAGTAAATATTACAATTATGCTAGGGGACTATTAACCCCTTCATGACTGAGCTTTTTTTTCCCAGTTTCTGTTCGTTAATGACTGGAGCACGTTTTACATTTTTGCTGTGTGATTCTTCAACATCAGTAATATACGTTCTCACTATGTGTACCCACATGTATTTATATATTGTTTTTTAGAGGACAGGTAGGGCTATATATTTATATCACATCTGTGTCTACTGCCTCACTTAGTATGAATAACATATTTTAAAAAACAAAATAACGTAAAGAAAACACTTTTTCCCCAAGTTTTGATTTTCTTTTTTTTTTAAATAGCAAAGCTAAATAAATAATTATTATTGGGAAATACCTCACATCCCTAGGATTTCAGAAATGTTTCTGTACTTTTCAGCCTAAAACTAAAAGCTAAAAAAATGTTTTCTTCTCTCTAAAAACTAACAATGGTTAGGTTAGGTGGCCTACGGTGCCATTAAGTGTCACACTTAGGGACAGCAACATACTTTGAACAACGCCGTCATGCCGGGCTTAAATTTTTTTTAAAAAACCCCTTAGGGTGAAAAACAAATCTGCAGCTCAGCTGCAGATTTTTCATTGTAACATGTTTTTTATAATAATTATAGTATAATAATATATTTATATAATATTTTTAAATTTTTTTTACAGTCTTTTAAAACTTTTTTACACTTTACAATTTTTTTTTGTCTATTATATCAAGCAGTCCCTATGACTAATGGTGTAATGAAGTGTACAGCGCTAAATGCCCTTCAGGAAATTAGATAACGGTAGGGATCATATGGTGTCACCTCCGTGTCAAGCAATCGTGAAACAGTGTATATATAATAAATATTTGTGTAAAAGTCCCTATGACTACTTGCTAAATTATTTTTTTTAAATGTTTGGTTATTATTAGGCTGCTCTAAATTTAGGAACAGCCAATAATAACCTTAGTGACTGATCCTGACAGTGTGACAGGATTAGATCTCACTAGGCTTCTGATCGCTCTCAGACTATCAGAAGTCTGATACATTTCAGCAAGAAATACATTGTTACATATTTATGGCTGAAGAACGTAAACAATGGACAAGTTCCATCTCTACAGAGCTGTTAAAAGTGAAATAGCAGAGCAGTGAGTCATGTTCTGCTTATATGCTATTTCTCCTGTCAAATACCGATCACATATTTGTAACAGCTTCTTTCTTTTATTGATGAAAGAAAGAAGCTTTTACAAAAGCTTAACTATTGAATTAATGGATGCCTCAATACTGAGGCATTAATGAACAGTAACCGCTGATTCTCAATGGTTACCAGCATTTCAAAACCCTGAATAGCTGCTTGTGTACAGTGTACATGAGCAGTCATTTAGGCACTTCATGATGGAGATGTACAGTTGTGAAGGGGTTAATATTACCATGTCCTTCTTACAGAATGGCAGTGTTTTTTTTTTATGTAGAGGTGTACAATTCACCTAAAACCCTGGCAGCAAAAATGTTTAAGTTCATCCTTAGGGTTATTGTTAATGTACAGGTATTCCTCACTTAACGACCGAGTTCTGTTCCTACGACCAGGTCGTTAAGTGAGGAACACTATACAGTACTGTACTTCATTAGTACAGTACTGTTTAGTGTTGCAGATGTACAGTACTGAACAGTGTACTGTACATCGGGCAATAAAATACTTACCGGGACCCGCAGTGAAGAACTGAGACTGACGAGTAAGGTCGGAGGTCAGTCATAAGTGCGAGTGGTCGCAAAGCAGGTAAGTCGGTATGCGAGGAATGTCTGTATGGTATTTTAAAACACATTAATATGTTATACACTGCTATGTATTTTTCATCTTAACCAGTTTGTATTATTTTAACAGCAATATAACATACAAATCACAGATCTAAAGCAGCCTGGAGTTATCAACAATCCCAAAAAGATAAAAGGACCACCTGGAACACAACCAAGTCCTATTGTTTTGATTCCAGAATTTTGCTTTTTAACAGGTATTACAGAGATATTGCTAATACTTTTGTGTTGTTAAAGGAAGTATACGCCTGTCTGTTTTTTTTAACTCTAAAGCAGCTGAAATTAGCATGCTCTCTGTGAATAACAGTAAAATCATAGGGTAAGTTTACTTTTCAGACCATTTTTCATGTTACTCCCATATTCAGGGTGTAGATGAAACATGGTCGTAATGGTGCGTTAATGTCACTACACTTGTAGTCCATTATGCAGGAGCCAGACCATGCGTGCGTTGTAGTGATCCAATTTATGAAGAAGTATGCATTTATTTGTATGTTTTTCTGAAAGGTGGACTTGTACCTCTGAACTGTTTTTCTTCTGTTGCAATGCTCCACTATGTATAAAATAAGTCCTAATTCATTTGACTTTTATTGCCTGCAAATTCTGATCTCTTACTTTAAACCCCTGTAGGATTTTTTCAGTAGTCTGTAAATATCCTAATACTTTAAGTGGAGACACAAAGCAGTAAAAAAAACCGTAAAAGTGCCCTATTTATTATTGTCCTATAGATCAGGCCTTCTTAAACTTTCTCCACTCGTGACCCCTTTTTGGCCGAGGAAATTTTTAAGGCACCCCAACGTCGGTCAGTGTCTCTCTCCTCTTCTCCCCCCCCAGCACCAGTCAGTCTCTCTCCACTTCTCTCCCTCCCCCCCAGCACCAGTCAGTCTCTCTCCACTTCTCTCCCTCCCCCCCAGCACCAGTCAGTCTCTCTCCACTTCTCTCCCTCCCCCCCAGCACCAGTCAGTCTCTCTCCACTTCTCTCCCTCCCCCCCAGCACCAGTCAGTGTCTCTCTCCTCTTCACTCTGTCAGCGTCTCTCTCTCTCCTCCCCCCCGATACCCCCCGGCGTCGGTCAGTCAGTACTACTAAGCCCCCTCCTTACCTTTACGTCCAGCAGCTGTGCTCCACTGCTGCTGTGTTAAAGAAAGTTCAGTCAATGTAAAAATTTAAAAAAAACCTTCCTGTGCACACGTGCTCAGGAATGTACCAAGTGCACGGGGGGAGGGGGGCGACCTTAACTACACTACACTGCAAATTATACATTAAACTGAAATAAAACACAAGTACCGTCCTGGCCGGGGACTCGGATCGCGACCCCCCTGTTAACTTCAGGGAACCCAAATGGGGTCGCGACCCACACTTTAAGAAGCACTGCTATAGATCACATGATGGATCTTGTTAGGAATGCCCAATCCTAGTCTGTGGGTAGCCTGGTCTAAATGGACTGGCATCTGTTTACACCCGGTTACCCCTGACTACAGCCAGGTCTGGAAAAAGCAAACAGAACAGGGTTCTGTTTTGATGGACCTGATCTTACCGGATCAGGGGTATTTACATGTACACAGACGCATATCCATTTACATCCAACTCCCTATAGACTGACATGGGGTCCGGTCAATTCAGATTTTTTTCTCCATCGCAAGATGGACAAAAGCACTGGACAGACGGATGTCACAACAGTGACATCCGATCCGTACAACTCTGATCAGCAGAGGATCCATGCATGTATCCCCTCCTGATCAGCCTGTGTAAAAAAAGCCTAAAAGAGTTAATTTCCGTGGAAGAAATTATTTTTATTCATTTCCATCAAGCTGCTAGGTGAGTGACAGGGTGGATAAATAGCTCTTTCTTGGTACAGCATTTTCCCTCGGGTGAGCAGCGCTGCAGCTAGTGACCTACTACTCCTTATCCCAGCAGAACCTCAGTATGCTGAACTTGACTGCATTTGGTATGTGGAGGGTGTCCTCGATTTTCTTCCCCCTCTCCCCTTACACTTTATGTGGGTTAGGGTGCTTCTCCCATCTCAGGAGACACACTGTCGGGGTCCACCTTGGCCATATGGGGAATATGCTTATTATTATGTCATCCGGGGATCTTTTTGTCACTGCTTCTATGTTTTTGGGAACTGGGGTGGAGTTCTTGGCCGCGACCTGTGTGGCAGTTGCACAGGGGCACTAACGAATGTCAATGTGGTGGTTTAAAGAGTTAAACAAGTCGTTCTGGTAGAGCTTTTTTTGTAATAGAAGTGTCAAAGAATGTGGAAGCAGGGTGTTGTGGAATTTTTTTTTTTTTTATATATATACATTTCAACATTTCACTACTCACTTACTTTGTTGTCTTTTCCCTTTCTTCAACTGGGAGTGACCCAGCGTTTAGTTTTAAGAAAATCAAAGGATAGTTTTCACCTTTGATATTCTATTCCAATGCCTCTGGCTAACCATTCTTTTTTTTCTTACCTTTGCTAAGGAGGTAACTTGCGTTGTTCTCCCTCTTCTTGCTGTGGGATCTGATCTTGAACCTTTTGGTTCTTCAGAAGCCACAATTTAACCCATCAGGGAGATGTCTCTGATTACCTTGACTCAAAAGGTGGTTTTTCTTATAGCCAACTCTTTAAGGTGATATTAAAGTAAAAAATTCCCCCAATGCTGCTTTAAGGACTTAACTTAAAGGAGAACAATGAGGTGAGTGATTTTCACTCACCTCATAGTTCGAGCCAACGTGTGACAGTGAAATAGTAACATCTGTGCAGACTCTCTGAAACCATGCATGGAATTTTGTATCTGGATTTTGTATATCTTTCTCTCACTTCAGTTCCGACACATCCTGCTCCTTCAAATTTTTCGTCACTACGATCAAAATCAATCATCGATTTGACTCCATCAACTATTAGAAAGTCCAAAGAAAGTTTCTTTCAGATGAAAGTTCTTTTGAAAATCTAAGCAGTGTATAGCCAGCTTGAGATCTCTATTCCCCTAATATGGTAAGAGCTATCAGACTACCTGAACACCACTGCTTCCTTTCGGAAGGCGGATTCATTATTATATCATTACGGATAATACCTGTAAAATTCAGCTTCCAGCGCATCCAACTCCGGATGTCTTCACCAAATCACGAAGGGTTTGCTATGAAACATGAGAATCCTTTTTCTTCCTGGACCCTAATTTATCACACTTCGCCTTGTTAGGTTTGTAAAGTTGCAGCTTTGTCTTCCACCTGCACCTTTACCAAGTTATATTTGGTGAATATAGTTGCATAAGGAGATGCTAACTTCCACTGCCCTCTTGCAGACGATTATGTGAGTACTTTCTTTTCCCTAGGCATTTACATTTTTTGCCTCTAGTTTTTGGTTTGGTGTCTTTGTATACCCCAGTTTTTTAGGGACCACTTTTGGACGCCTCACAGGTTGTAAATCTAGTGTGTTGTTTCCCTCAATGGAGAAATAGAATGTTTTATTTGGTACCCACCCTGATGTTCATCAAGGGAAACAGCACTGAATATTTATAACCTGTGGGTAAACTGCTGCCTACAAAAGGATTGGACACTAAGTAAAATGAAAAGGAGCCATCCTCTCTAGTAGCTATGCCCCTAAACCTACTTTATTAGAAGTTGCATTATGAAAAATAACAGTGGAAAGAACATACTTCCCTTAACACAGATCGGTACAACTATGTCAGCAAGCCAATCAAATAAATGAGCTCCTAAGAGGGGGGGTAGCTATGTCCCTCCGTGAATTTTGGTAAAAAGTATCTCAAGGTAAAACTTTTTTTTTTTTTTTTAAACGCTAGTTATTTTATTGGACATTTTTATAAGCATGTTATGTAATACGTTTCTTTTTATTTGAAAGGTTTAACTGACAGAATGAGAAGTGATTTTACTGTAATGAAAGACCTAGCAATTCATACTAGGCTAGCCCCTGAGCAAAGAGAAAAGCAAGTCTCAAAATTTTTGGATTACATTCACAAGTAAGATGTATTTTTTTTTTAAACGCTAGTTATTTTATTGGACATTTTTATAAGCATGTTATGTAATACGTTTCTTTTTATTTGAAAGGTTTAACTGACAGAATGAGAAGTGATTTTACTGTAATGAAAGACCTAGCAATTCATACTAGGCTAGCCCCTGAGCAAAGAGAAAAGCAAGTCTCAAAATTTTTGGATTACATTCACAAGTAAGATGTTTTTCCCTTCAATTCTGCATTCATTTTAATAAAATTTTTTTTTTAAAGTTTATCATTTTGGTGAAACCTGCATATTCAATAAAACAGTGGCAACCACAGCTGCAAAAAAAATCACCCACAGAAATCGGATGTAATCTTACACTAGTAAACTAGCATTGTACCCGCCCTCTGCTGCAGTTCTCCATCAGGTCCATCAGCAGAGGGCGGGTACAAAGCTAGTTTACTATTGGCTATTGCAAATTGAAATAGCCAATAGGAATCTAGCAATGCATTCCAAAGGCCAAAACCTTGTTTTTTTTTTCTATTCTGACATGGCTCCGTGTCAAGATAAAGAAAAATCAGTGTTTCTCTCCTGGGCGGCCTGGAGCGAAAGGCTCCCAGAGTGCCCGGGAGATTTTGTTTTTGTTTTTTTGACGCTGCAGAGCCGCCGGACAATAGAAAACTATTGGGCGGAGCTAGCTGTCACTGCTAGCTCCGCACAATCGTTTTCTATTTACTTTTTTAAACTTTTTTAACTATTTTTTTGCTCTGCTCGGTCCCTCTGAGGGACTGAGCAGAACATCCGAGCCGAATGTATACCAGTGCATACTAGGCAGCTTGATATATGGAAGAAATATCTACGCAACAAATTGTAAAATAAGGCAACTGAATTGTAACATTGTACTGTGTCTGCAGGGATGATAATGTTCAGAAAGAACTCAAAGACTGGGGTCTCAACTTTGACACTAATTTGACGTCTTTTTCTGGAAGAGTTGCTCCTCCTGAGAGAATTTTGCTGTCAAATAGACATGTAAGTATTTCCACATAGTGCATATAATTGCCATTGCATCTGCACTTGTCCAGTCTCTGAAAACTTGCTTTCTGAGTAGGCCAACCTTGCTGATCGATTGGAGAAACCTCGTAATTGGCACCATTGGGCTCCTATGAATTTCCTACTTTCCTCAGCATTTACCATGGAATGGGTTCATATTGAGGGACTGAGTCCTGGCTTTTTTCGCTGGGTGAAGTTTTACACTCATTCTGCACTCTTTTTTTCCGCAATTCAGCTTAAAGTAAGCTTCTGCTTTGCTAAACAGAAATGTGGCACTCCAATCTCCGGTCTGTTCCTACTGCCCAACTACAGTGACTTTAGTTGAGTATGAGCCTCCTGGAGTTGAAAGTACCTGAGGCTTTGCCTCGTACACTGAGCTTTATTGTATGGTACCCACACGGTCACAACATGTTTGTATCTAGACAAGGGTTCTCAAAGTACTGGCCCGTGGGCTACTTGCGGCCCACAAACCTGTACTATGTGGCCTGCTGACATGTCAAGTATGTGGTCACAGACCGCGTACCTGACTTGCGTGTGCAGCTATTTGTTCTTCATCTCTGTCAGATGCAGACCACATAGCTGATGCTGGCTGTGCGCTCAGTTTCTTTTGCCCGGAACGCTGAGCTCCTGCCGAAAGGATGGATTAGTAAGGTCTACACCAGACCTTACTAATCAACCACTAGATCACCAGGGAATTATGTGCTTTGCCTGCGTTCCGTTCCACTGCAAACGCAAAAAAATGCTGCTTGCTCCATTTTTTGTGTTTGCAGTGGAACGGAACGCAGGCAAAGTTTTGCCACACATCCGATCGCAGGGGGCGTGGAAGCGATGTCTTTGAATTCAATGCACCGCCAAGCCCCCTATCGCCCCAAAACGTAGGGGGAAGTTGTGAGCGATTGCGGTGCGTACCGGCAGCTACCGCTCTGGAGCGCACCGCATTCGGTGTGAACAAGCGCTAAAGTACTACCACACTTTTCCCTGCAAAGTCATTTTCTGATCTCCCTGCAGCCTTAGAAGAGTGTGGACCTCTGGTTGCAGTTAGCATTTCTGAGTCTATATGATGAGATTGTTTTTAAGGAATCAGTTTCCTGCTTTTACCTCAGATGTACAAGAGACATCCAAGGTAATGCCCCTTTTATCCCTTATTGTTGCGGTACATATTACTCTGCATCTGCAGGATGAGCTTGCTGTCTCCAGCCTTGAGTCTTTCAGAGCTTCTACAGCTGCAAAGACCTTTCCTGGCCATATCTAGACCCCGCTGTTCTGAAGAAGCGGGGCTGGCCTGCAATGTTACTTTGTAGACTGGGTCCTGCGTTTGGCGTCCACCTTGGTATTTGGTGCAATATATTTGGTTAGTCACAGGGTGCTATACATGTCCTGAGCAGTGGCGTATCCACATGGTGTCACCCAGTACCTGAAGACCCCCTGGAGGATGGTGTAGGCTCTTACGAGGCAAACGAAGCTGAGGTTGCGTGGGTAATCCTCCACTGATCCTCATGGATGTCCCTAACTAGCAGCTAGTGATTAGTGAGTAAATGGTTCAATTCACCCCTCTACATACCCTTCCCCAAAGGAGCTACTCTGCAATATGCACTTTACACAACCCCTCCCCCCAGCTGGCTATGCTTAACTTGCCTCTCTGGCCATCTTTCATCACCATAGGCTGGTTGGCTCATGCACAGTGATGGCTGGGGGGTGGTGCTCCTAATTTGTCTTCTTCTGGGGGCTGAGACACATTTGCGCAGGACAGTGTGGCATCTGCTGGCTGCTGTCTGAGTGGCTTTTCCATAAGTTTGTTTGTTGGGCCCTGTTAGCGGGTTTTTTCTTTTCTTTTATGTTACCCACCCCTTTAGTGTATTGCTTTAGGATGTTCCTTTTACCTCTGAATTGTCTGTGACCAGTAACTTTATGATCCAGAAAATAGAATTTTTGACTTCCCAGTAAAATCAATTTCTGGAGTACAGTACAGGACACAGCACCCACCCCTTTTTATCGTCCGTTGCTTGCTGACAAAACTGAGGATTTCCTGGAAGGGGTGGTATTATATATGTCTCTGAAATGCCTGTGTCCAGTAGTGTACGCCACAAAACTAATTGTACTGGTAAGTCAAAAATCCTGCTTTTTTATGCTTACAGTCTTTGCCCTGTTCTGACTGTAACCCTAATCTGTCAAATTGTGTTAGAATGGGTTTAATCCCTGAAAAAGGATTTCCACCACCATAGTGAACAGCTTCCTGATAGAGCATGTGGAGCAGATGTCTGAGCCTTGCATTTCAGTTTGTGTACTGTATAGGTCTGTTGTCCATACAAATGCACCGAGCACACTGGTTAAGGTATTAGGATGAAGATGTCATATCCAAGTTTATCTGACTTGCTTATTCTTCAAAGAGAGACATCTCTTTGGACCTACCCTTGACTATCATAATTGAGGATTTTACCAGAGGTCAGAGCATTCACTGCTTAGCGTTAGAAGTCTAAGGAAAGATCAGCTGAGTACCATCCTTCCTTCACAGTCCTGCAGTAGCAACACTCAGATTCTCTAAGCCTGGTTCTCCAGCAGCCCGCAAGGCTAGAAGCAAAAAGCCTGCTTTACCCTCAGAGATCTTCAGCATTAAGGTGTGCCCCCAATTTCCAAATTGGGGAGATGGTTGGGGATTATTCCTTGTGGGTCTTTGGATAGTTTGACCTATATGCATCTAATGTAGGTTCAGATAGCACCCCCTTAGTTTGACATGTTAGCTCTTGTCAACTGTGCACCATCTACCCCGTGCCACTGCACAGATTAACACATTTTCCCTACTCCCTTTGGTTTTTCTCAACCCAGGCGTTCTTTTCTAACTGCTGTCTCTGCTTTGCTTCATGTTTTGCCCCTTTGCCCCCCACTATTAGCTAGGGATGTACCCATCTCTCATTTGCAGGAGAATCTGAGTTTTTGAGGAACAACCTTTCCAATACACTTCCCCTCATCCCATCTCTTTTCAGTACATCTCAGCCCTTTACTCTTCTGTTTGGGTTTCATTCCTAAGCAAACCGATGTGTCTGCCTCTAAAGGTGCCCATACACCTTACAACCATCGCAAGACTTTTGTCTTGCGATGGTCGTAAGCTGATTAAAAGTTCGTACGATCTGCCCATCTTGGACAAGCAGATCGTACTTGCGATCTTCGAAAGCCCGCCCCGCTGAGGGGCGGGCTTCCGATGAGCCCAATGCTGAACGGGCAGTGTGCGCGTGCACACACCGGCCCGTTCCGCAGTTGTCGAACGAGCAGGCTAGAAAATCGTACGATCCTCAGCGGGTTTTCTAGCTGCTGGTTCGACAAAAGACGTGCGACCATACAGTAAAAACGGTCACTTCTTCCATACACCTTGCGATTATCGTACGATCACGGGATTTCCCACGATTATCGTACGATAATCGCAGGGTGTATGGGCACCTTAAGAATGAAGTAGACCCTGGCCTGATTGCTCAGCTTTCTTATCAGACAGCTGGAAAAACCCCTACCACCTAAATCAGTATATAAAGCTGGCCATACACTTTACAATTATCTGCAGATTTTCTATGGTCAGATGGAGGAATCTGTTGCACCTTATTCCTCCATCTATGCTAAACTGTGTGGATGGAGTAATCTCCACCTGGGCCAATCTGTTGCACTTTTTCCATCTGACCACAGAACATCTGCAGATAATTGTAAGGTGTATGGGCACCTTTACTATGGCCAGGTGTTTGCAATTAGTTCTGGCTGCTCAGCCTGTACAAATCTATGACAGGAGCTGCAGTTTTCTTTGTCTGTTTGCTTGTATTTTCCCATGGAGCGAGTAGATGAAGTTGTGCAGCCCTCACACAAATTGCATAGAGTGGCTGCTCATCTGTCGCTATTTGTGATTACATGTAAACAGCCAAAGAAAGCTGTGGATCCTGTAAGATTTGTATAGGCTGAGCAGCCGCAGAAGATCATAAGCTGGGCATACACTGCCCAAAGTACACTGATTTGGGCAGCGAACATGTCAATGAAACCTTATTCTTCCCTAGATTTTTTTTTAAGCATGTAAATCTTTATTGAGTTTGAATTACGTAATAAACATAGCAACTGGATGCACATGAACAGTAAGTTCATGTGCATGTCTCACGAGATAACAGATTAGATTTCCCAGCAATCCTCTGCTGATGTAACCTTCCCAGGATGCAGTACCTTGGCACATTACATATTTTCTGCCAGAAGTGGACCAGGAAGTAAATTAACTCTATTTGTAAGTAAATGATAAGCAAGTTTGTTTAACTAATGAATGTAAGATGATTTTAAATCAGGGTTAAAGGTCCACTTTAATTAGCTTACCTATACTGACTAGTATTTTATGTCTGTTAAAAGAAGTGAACAAGTATTTGTATTACTTTTCTTAATTTTAATTATTTTTTAATAATTCTTTGTAGGTAGAGTATAATCCCCAGTCTGCAGACTGGTCAAGAGAATTAAAAGGACCCACCCTAATCCATGTTAAACACCTGGATAACTGGTTGTTGATATATGCTCGGAGAAACTATGATGCAGCTAATACTCTAACACAGAATTTGTTCAAAGCATCACAACAAATGGGGATTAGAATGAGTAAAGCAATCATGTAAGTGTTGCTCAAGTTTTCAGAAAAGTGTATGGGTAGTATATGCTATTGTCCGACCTGCATTGTGTATCTTTGTATTAGATTTGATTTTTACCATCTGCCATTCATAAAAGAATGTTAACTGAATTAATATGTATGTTACTTGCATGTATGGTTGCTTTGAGATCCTGGCATGAACATTTAAAAACAAAAGTAAAAATTATATTTTTTTCTCTTTCCATTGAGGGATGTACTTTGATACAGTCAGGTTTTACTGCAGCCTGGAGTATTGGAAATTGGCAAACAAAAAAAATTGTAGGCCAGTCCAGGGTAACCCTTTTCCGATCTCCGCATGCCTCAGTTTTTTGCTAGTGTACTTTGGAGATGGACATTTTCTCTCTGCTCTGAGAGAAACTGAAGCATTTTCAGATTTCTTCACAATAATTTTTTTTGCTGCAATCAAGACTCCTAGCTATGGATAAATGCTCTATAATGCATTGTTAATTTCATCGACTAATAGTTTTCGTCATAGTTTTTGTCAACAACACTTTTTTTCAGTGACTAAAACTAGACTAAAAATAAAAAACTAAGTCATGATGACTAAAACTATAATTAAAATATACTAACATTTTAGTTGACTAAAACTAGACTAAAATGTTAGGGAGAGACGATTTGGAAAGAGATCCAATCAGAACTAATCTCTTTGGACTTCCATTTCCATCCTGGCATTTTAGTCAAAAGACTATGACTAAAACTGAATCGAAATTTGCCTTCAAAATGAACACCGGTATAGTGGAACTGATTGTCACCGCATCCCAGAAATCAATTACAAACTATTAGACAAAGAGTTGGGACTTTAGTGGTGTCATACATAAGCTAACACATTAAATATCTATATAAAACCAGAATGTCTCTAAGGTTAGGGTAAGTCTCTCTGCGATGAGGGATCGCTGAGGGAGGGGACAAGGCTTGCTCAGGGAGACAGCCCCAGTTAGTAACAAAAATATAGAAACATCCCACATGGTAACAGCCATCTCTCCTGTCAGTAAATGCCCCCGAAAAAGAAGGGGGCTTGTCCTTCCACGGGTGTGTGATGGAGTGCAAAAACAGCTCCCCGGGTGAGCAAATGGCTGTTATCACATGTAAACCCAGAAAGGGGCACAGACTTGCATAGTAGTCCTGGTATAGTAACATAGACCAAACTAGTCTAAGGTGTAACAATGACCATCATGAAAACAATTTGATATATGTAATTAATGAAAGTGAGCCATACATTGGTGTGTTTGGCGCCCAGAACTCTCGGCCAGACGGGCTGAGAGTGTCCAGAATACATGTAGTGTTACAGGGAAGGAGCTGGGTTTCCAGTTCCTTCTGGGTTTTCTGGAGTATAACTGGGATCTGGGTCTCTGGAGATTTCTAAAGGTGCCCACACACCTTACGATAATCGTGGGAAATCCCGCGATCGTACGATTATCGTAAGGTGTGTGGAAGCCGTGCAACCTCTACTACTGTAAGGTCGCACGACTTTTATCTTACGAACATGTTCGATTTTCGGCGGGTGTGTAGCATGTTCGTAAGATAAAAGCCGGACGGGCCGGTGTGCGCAAGCGCACACTGCCCGTTCAGCATTGCGGTCATCTTGCGATGGTTGTAAGGTGTGTGCCTAAGGGCTGGGCACACACCCCTTCGTGATGGGAGACGCACACTGTTATTTGCTGCACTAGAAGGCTGGTAACCGCTGGGAATCAACGGTTACCATTCATTAATGTATCCCTCAGTATAGAGGCATCTGAAAATCTACTGAATACCAAACACACAGCATCCATTAATGAAAGGGTTAACCTTTTACAGACACCCGATACCTTAATATCGGGTGTCTGAGAGTCAAAGCAGAGCGGGCACACATGCTGGCAAAAGCCAGCATTCTGACAGCTCGTATAGATCGAGAGATATCTCTCTCAAGCTATACTGGCTTTTTTTTTTTTCACTTTCAGGAATAGATACACAATGTATCCCTGAAAGAAGAATGTTTTAGTTTTCTGATGGTTGTTGGAACAATCAGAAAACTAGTGGCAGCTGAATCCTGAACTACTGCAGGATCAGTGTCACTAACTTATTATCGGCTGTTCTGAAGTTTGAAGCAGCCTGATAATAACCAAAAATTTATTAATTTATCAAGCAGTAATAGTGAGATTAATTCACAATGAGATTAATTCACTGCCCACCGTCCCTGCACATCCTGTTTTCTTGGCCGACTCTGCTCACGTGTGGACTCTCGAGTGATAGCGGAGGCTGAGGTAGCAAGGGCTCAGCGTCTCCCCCATGGGTGGTATGTATATAGGTGTTGACCTGGGTCTGTGCAGTGGGACTGGGGGGTCTTCCCTGTTTGCCTCGGTCGGTGTGACCAGATCCATGGGCTGGGGAGTGCCTGGGGGCTCTGGTGGTCTTGTATGTGGGGGTCCGCGGGTTCCACACCGCAGCCCTCCTTCCCCTTCGGGTGGCTTGCCTGGTGTTGGGCCTGGGGGATCGCTGTGTGTCTGGTCCGTGATGCAGTGTGGCTCAGCGGCTGCATTATTCCTTCCTCCCGGCCACATGTGCACGGGCTAATCGAGCCCCCGGCTTCTGTTGCAGCCTTGCTGGAAGACGCGGCCGCCATTTTGGTTAAGTGCTGAAGTGCCCTTTCTGTGACGTCACTTCCTGGACTAGCTATTCAGCAGGGGGTGGGGACGGTGGTCAAAGTGGGCGGCTCCTCCTGCAGTGGATCCTCCAGTTTCACGGCTGAACAAAGCTACTGTTATTCCAGTGGAGGATTCTCCTTCCTTTCGGGGTCCCACGGATAGGAACGCGGAGGCTGTGTTACGAACTATGTATTCAGTTTCGGGTGCTCTTGTGTGTCCGGTTTTGGCCTCGGTATTAGTCTCCCAGACTCTGACAGAATGGGCTAAAATGTAATGTTATGTTATACTAGGGTCTTGCCGAGGAAATATTTCTCCCACCTATATTGAGCTGGTTGAACAGTTGGTGCAGGGCCTGAAATATGTTTGCAACTCGGCCTTGTATGCTGTACCTCTGGTATCAAAGGTGTCGGCGGTTACGCTTCGCCGACTGCTTTGGCTTAATTGCTGGTCGGCTGATCAAGCCTCCAAGAAGGCCCTGACGGAGCTTCCCTTTAACGGTGATCGTTTGTTTGTAGCCACGCTGGATGAGATCATTAAGGATCTGACGGACGGTAAGAGTGCCTTCCTGACTCAAGCTAAGAAGCCTAGGGATCAGCGCCAAAAGCCTGGTCCCTCCTTCTCCGCTCACAAGCGGCCTTTTCAGCCCCCTCTTGTAGAAGGTCGGTAAGTTCCACAAGCCTCCACCTTCCCAGGCCCTGGCAGCGGAAGTCTTCCATACCCCCTTCCGTATGAAGGTCTTCCCCCATCTCTGTCTTCATATCTTTGGTTGTCCCATGTCTCTGACACCTAGGTGCGAGAGCTGGCTTCTTCGGGCTACAAGATATAATTTATGTCTCGTCCCGGGGACAGGTTTTATCGTTCCAACATACGACCATTCTCCGCAAAGCCCGCCAATCTTCACTGCAGGTGGCGGACCTCTTGTTTCAGGGAGTGATCGTCCCCGTGCCCTCCTCTAAGAGGTTCAAAGGGTTTTATTCAAATCTATTTACCGTGCCAAAGAAAGAGGGGAATTGACCCATCCTAGACCTCAAACGGTTGAACACCTTTCTGTGGGTTTGCAGGTTTCGGATAGAATCTTTCAGATCCGTGGTGGCGTGTATCAGATCCGTGGTGGCGTGTATCCATCAAGGGGATTTTCTGGCCTCCATCGACATCCAGGATGCCTACATTTATGTCCCCATTTGTCTCTCCCATCAGCGTTACCTTCGTTTTGCGGTGGGAGAGGAACACTTCCAGTTTGTCGCTCTGCCATTCTGTCTGGCGTCGGCCCCTCGAGTGTTCACCATGGTGTTGGCCCCGATTCTAGCTTTGTTGCGCTGCCGGGGATCTTGATTGTCGGGTACCTGGACAACCTTCTCTTAAAGGCAGAGTTGCATTCTTCTCTGATGGCGGATCGTGCGGTCCTTGTAAGAGTTCGGATAGATTCTGAACTTCAGGAAGTTCAGGTGCCATCCACCCGTCTGGAATATCTGGGCCTGATTCTTAACACTGTCTTGGCCTGGATTTTCCTCCCGCCGGAAAAAATCCGGAAACTTCGTTCTCATGCTCGGTGGTCGACAATCTGCTTCTGCGTGCAGGTTCTGGGCCTCATGGTAGCCTCCTTCGAGGAGGTGCCTTAAGCACAACACCACACTATGCCTCTACAGGGGGAAATCTTGTTGCAGTGGGACGAGTCTCCCTTGTCACTGGACAGGGCTGTTCGGGCGACGAGGGCTTCCCTCGTTTGGTGGCTTCGGTCTCCGGCTCTGGTGTCAGGGAAATCCTTTCTTCCCCTGCGCTTGGACGGTGGTCACCATGGATGCCAGCCTTCTGGGCTGGGGGGAGTCATTGGCATCTGGATGACGCAGAGGCGTTGGTCGTTGGAGGAGTCTCGTCTATCGATCAATGTGCTGGAGCTTTGGGCAATTCGGCTCAAAATTTGTCCAAAAAAGTGGTCTTTTTGGTAGTGATCACCTCCGTTCGAAGGGTTTTGGAGTTGGCAGCTTTGTCTGGCAGGTCGCCGTTATTGGTCCTTCGTAGACCTTCATGGTTCTTCATTCATCTGCGTCCTCGGCTGTCCTTGTTGCCTAAGGTGGTTTCCGCATTTCATCTGAATGAGGACATCGTCTTGCCATCTCTATGTCCGAAGCCCGTTCATAGGAAGGAGAGGGCACTCTTTGTGTTTATTTGGATGCCACTGCCTCTTTCCGTGGACAGGACAGGCAGATCGTACTTGCGATCATCGCAACCACGCCCCGCTGAGGGGCGGGCTTCCGATGACTGCAATGCTGAACGGGCAGTGTGCGCGTGCGTACACCGGCCCGTTCGGCAGTTGTTGAACAAGCACGCCACTACCCCGCCGAGAATCGTACAATTCTCAGCGGGTTTTCCAGCCTGCTTGTTCGACGGAAGACGTGCGACCGTACAGTAGAAACGGTCGCACGACTTCCATACACTGCACGATTATCGTACGATCGTGGGATTTCCCGCGATTATCGTAGATAATCGTACAGTGTATGGGCACCTTAATATAAAGCTCCTTGCAGCTGTGGCTAGTGTCCAACTAATGATTCTGTCATTTTTACTTTCTACAGCCTGTAGAATGTTCCCATTATTCTAGAAGATCCTGGCTACACTGATATTTTCTCGAGTATTAGGGCCGTGCTGCAAAAATGGCATCTACCTTGGGGCATCAACTTTAACCTAGCTTAGTGAAATTTTCTTTTTTTCAAAAGTACGGTACTGCCTTTAACAATCACTTTATCTTGCTTTCTCTTTCTAACCTTGCCCAGTTCTGTGAGAACATCAAAGTTGCAACAGAGAACTAGTAATACACACCTGTGTGCATTCCTTGTTCTCACATCACACTTTTAAACTAAGACATTATACATACTTATAGTACGGGCTAATTGATTCTGATATATTTGGTTTGGGCTTCTAAGTTTTTTTGTTTGATGTGTTTTTTGCATCGGGACGCATCCAAATGCATACCTAAAGAACGTAATCTCATCATGAGGTGTGATGACATTCAATACAAATTGCATGAGGTGAAAAACCACATTGGCATGCATTTCCATTGATTTCAATTAAATCGCATGTGGAAAAACACAAATAGATATGAATCCAGGCTTAAGCTTTGACAGTGTATAAGAGTTGAAATGCAGATCCGACATGTTAAAAACTGTTAAATATTAGGGAATTGTTTGAAAATATAATGGTATATTACACACAGTTTGAATCTACATTAAGGTAATCTCAAATGTGTTCAAGACTCATGTTATACACCCTTGTCTAAGTGATTGTTTCTTCTCTTTTCTTTTATTTCTTCGTCCATGAAAAGGGTTGAAGTAGACGACAGTACAGATGCATATGTAAGAGCTCTCCAGCAGAAAGTCCAGCCTGATACACAGATGGTAGGTGATAATAAGATGTTTGCATGTTTTAGAACTCTTCTCTTTCTATGTTAATAATCAAGTAATTTTTATTGACACATAAAAAATACAAATTGTCTAACACTGAAACACATAATAAATGGGAAAACATTCATTATCTCAGCATAACAAGTGTTATATATTTTGAAGAAAATGTAGCACAATAAAACACTTACATAGACATTAATTAAAAAGAAAGGAAAGATAAACAAATGAAACAACACAGCATTCTATATTCCACTTCAGATTTCCTGACAGTATTGAACAATCCATAAGTAATACAGTGGCATTGTAAAAGCTGGCTTTAATGTCTGCTGTCACAGATTTGCTTACGTTTATTTATGGTTAGATGCACTGGCGGAACTACCAGGGTCGCAATTACGACCGGGCCCTGGCGTTTGGCCACTTGGGGGGGCCCAGCGAGGAAGAAGAGCCCATCCCTCCCCACACACCACCACCCCCAGATCGTGCTGCTCCTTCCCTGCCTCGCTGCCACCCGCAGCATGTACGGGCGGCAGGGATGGAGAGGCTGTCACTGGTCCCGCAGAATGTGCTGCAGGCACCGCCAGACAGCACATTCTGCTGTGAGGACCCTCTCTTAGCTCTGGCCGCAGAGATGAGGAAATGGGCCCTGCAGGAGCTGGAAGGTAAGTCGGGGGGGGTGCTGGTGTAGGTAGTCCTGCATAGCTGGTGGTATTCTGCATTGCTGTATGATAATTATACAGCAATGCAGAATAGCACCAACTATGTAGGACTACAAGTCCCAGCAATGCATTATATTTTTAAGTAGAGATACACTAGTGTTAATACTGGGCATTTTCTTATACTATTACTTATACTCGTGTAAATGCCCCGATACTAAACGCAGATACCGGTTTTCTGTCGAACGCCGATGAAGTTGAATTTGCCCACCTCAGCATCTGCGCTTGCGCACAGACCAGTATTATCGAGGAAACAGGGATTTTTTCACAAAGTATTTTGTTTAAATTGTTAATTGTTATCGTTAATAATATTCCATCCTTCATTTACTGCCATCCATCATTTACTGCCATGGACGGCATATTATTACCGGTCACAATTAACAATTACAAATGAATACTTCGTAAATAAATGCCGGTTTCCTCGGTAATCCCGTCTGTACGTAAACGCAGATACGGGGTCAGCATTCTCGACAGAACAGCGCACTAAAATTTTAAACAAGCGGCTGCCTGAGGTTCCGCTCTTGCTGCGGACTTCGGCAGCCTTCTTGTTAACCATGCGGTGCCTTGGGGGGGAAGGGGACCTTCATGGTTTCTTGCACCGGGCCTTGAAAGTTCTAGTTACGCCCCTGGTTAGATGTAAGGAATCTGGTTCAAATGGGAGACTTGGTCCCAGTCAAACCATTACAAAAATTCCATTGTTCCATTTGTGCAACAATATTCTCTGATTCTGTAGAGAGAGAGAGTTTCTCCAACAATGGGACAAGTCACCCGCTTTGCTGGACAGACAAATGCAGGTGATCCAGATGGTCAAAGCCTCCTTGGCTTGATAGCTAAGTCTCCCTACTCTGATAAACAGGAGGTTATTTCTTCCAATTTGCTGGAAAATTGTAACAACTGATGCCAATTTCACCGCCAGCAGCGAAGTGACTGGTCAGTTGTCAGCATAGGGGCTCAAGTGCAAAGCGGAGGCCAAATTACCAATTAATGTTTTAGAGTAGTGCACGATCAAACTGTCTTTTACATTAGATGACTCTACTATGGGGTCACCCAGTCAGCAGTAAATCAGACAACGCCACTGCAGTAGCATGTAGATGCTTAAAGCATTTAGATCTACCTCTCTGAAATAATTTCCTCGAACCTGGAAAGCTTGCATTTCTTAAGGTGGTCATCAACCCGATGGCTAATAAATAGGCATTTCCTGACCTCGTTAGTTAACAGTGCAAAAGCACCCTGTAGTTTTGTCTATAACTGCCTGGAGGGGATTTCTTCTGAAGAGGAACCCTCTGAGTCAGAAGAAGCACTTCCCTGCAACTCCTCATCCTGGTCAGGAAAAAGAACGGGCAGCGTCCTCCTCTGACTGGGAATCGGCTGGAGCATGGGAACTGCGTGTACAGCCACGGTGAACAGACACGTCTAACATGGCAGAAACCTGACCCATGAACACTGACATTAAGGCCACAAAATCATCTTTACTAAGGCAAGATGAATGCGAGCTTGCTGCCACAGAAGCAGACGCACCAGAGGTAAGGATTTAAAAGATGAATCTAATCCCACCAACAGCTGCCTGGAAATTTTCCCTTCAGTCCCAATACTTTTTGCATCCGGCATGCGAGAGGCCCTTTAGGTACTCACAGATACTTTGTCTGCCCTGACCCGTGTCTCAGCCGCCCCAACTATCGCGTCCCAGGCAACTATGTCTTTGCAACTGTCCAGTAACGGATGGAAGACCCACTGAGCATACTAGACATTTAAAAACATTAGGGTGTGTATTACACATCACTTATACTGCCTGCCAAGATGGTCGTCGTGGGTGACACTGCACATGCACTGTACCAAAAAATGGCAGACGCTGATCATCGTATAATTACCTGGATCCTGCAATGCAAAATTTAAACAACATCGCCTCCACCCCAATAGAGGGAGAGGAGCACGGCAGTAAAAGGCAAAGGAGCAGTACCCCCTTCCATGGCCAGCGTGGAGGTCGGGGGGCCACTCGCATGGGGAGGGAGACCAGGGGAACTGTAGGCTGCTTCACCAGTCAGGGAGAACAAAAAAGGGGCGGAGGAATGAGCTAAGCACTCGCCACCTTCCTGCAATATCTTTACCCTTTTCTTACAATTCAGACGAGCGGATCCCCTAAGGCAGGGGTGGCCACAATTTTTATGTTAAGATCTACTTTTCAAATGACGAGCTCTCTCTCTCTCTCTCTCTTGGCAGTCTCTCCTTGCTCTCTCTCCTGGCTGTCTCTCATTGCTCATCCTCCTGGCTGTCTCTCCTGGTTGTCTCCTTGCTAATCCTCCTGGCTGTCTCTCCTTGCTCATCCTCCTGGTTGTCTCTCCTTGCTAATCCTCCTGGCTGTCTCTCCTCTCTCTCTCCTGGCTGTCTTTCCTCGTTTTTTCTCCTGGCTGTCTCTCTCCGCTCTCTTGGCTGTCTCTCCTTGCCCTCTCCCCTGGCTGTCTCTCATCTCTCTTTCCTGACTGTCTCTCCTTGCTCTCTCCCCTGGCTGTCTCTACTAGCTCTCTCCCCTGGCTGTCTCTACTCGCTCTCTCTCCCCTGGCTGTCTTTCCTCTCACTCCTGTCTGTCTCTCCCTGCTCTCTCTCCTGGCTCACCTTGCTGTATTTTGCAACCGGCTGTGTAAACTAATATTCTTTGATGTAATACATAGCACTTCAACCACCAGTATCCACCAGAAAGGTGTCAGGGAGCTTGGCTCAGCATACTCAGGCTAATAGGTAATCACGTGTGCATAGCTAAATAAATATACCAAAATGGAATAAAGGGGCCTCCATTCGCACCCTTTGTGACCTACCAGCATCAGCTTCGTGAGCTACTGATAGATCACGATCTACCTAATGGGCACCCCTGCCCTAAGGAGTCTACAGGTGGGCCACACCAACAACTTGTGCCAAGATGGGTGCCCACACAGGACCCAATGCTTACAGCAACATTACACTACATCTGTTGTAGGGAAGGAGTAATATAGGCTCCTGACTGCCCTGACCAGTCACCTGACGGTACCACCTTATAACCTATCCATCCTCATTGACCTGCATCCTTTACTGTACAATCCTAATATTTTATTTATGCAAGTCTCAGCATAATGGAAGTATTAAGTATCCTTCTAGTAGCATCAGGGGCTTGCCTGCTGCGTGTAAAACCTGTTAATTTGGGTTTGTAGTATTTGAGAAACTTGACCTAGGAGACGAGTAGGAATTATTTTAGCATAGATTTTTAGGTCTGTATTTAAAAGCAATAAGGGTAAAACATTTTGGGGTGACACTGATTTCTACCCTGGCTTTGGGATTGGAACAGTAATAGCCTTACGCATGTCTGGGGAGGACGAGGTAGTGGCTGCAGCATTTTTGTAGATTTAGTGCAGGTAAGATGTAAGGATATTCTTCAAACGTTTATATTATTCTCAAAAAATTCCATCTGGGCTTGGGAATTTGTTTTTGGGAAGGGAAGTAATGGCCTCTCAGATCTTGTGCAGTGATTGCTACCCCCTTCCCACCGTATAAAGGATAAATCTTTCTAATAAGAATGTACAGGCAGTACCTCTTCCTCACTCTTATAAAAATTGTTGTGTTTTTATATCTGCATGTTTCCACATTTAAGGGATTTCCTGTCAAGATGGCTACCATCGGTCATGCAAAATGTCCTAGTGGTGACAGAGACAAATATTAGCCCTTTCCCACTCTGTTGAACTTAAGTTCTACTTTAACTGGAATACTGATGTGTAAGAATCATCAATGTTTTCTTGGGGAGACAAAATATATAAAAACCATTGATGTCAACACCTGTTCACATTATTGTGCATCAGCAAAATATGAATCTGCAGCACATCCTCTACTCTCTTCTGTTAGGGCAGCATAAAGCAGAGCACCTAGTAACATCTAGTGCTGTCCCTACCTCTACCAGTCTTGAGTGTTGGTGTACTAGGGCATTACAGGAGGTTAAAATAGGAAAAAGTACTTACAGTGATTGCATTTAAATAAACATAACTGCGCTAATTGTTAATTTTGTATCTGCTGTAGTTCTGCTTTAAGATTTCTTTGTCCCTCACTTATGCCTTGCAGATATGCTGTAGTGATAGTTGTTTTCAAACACATTTGCTAATTTTTTTTTTTTTTTTAAATAAACACAGCCACTTAGAACTTTTTTTAATCTGTTATCACATGTATATTTTCAGGTCGTTTGTCTTCTATCCAGTAATCGCAAAGACCGATATGATGCTGTTAAGAAGTTTCTTTGTGTTGACTGTCCAGTTCCCAGTCAGTGTGTGGTAGCAAGGACCTTAAGCAAACCCCAGACTGTTTTTTCAGTTGCTACAAAAATTGCTTTGCAAATGAACTGCAAAATGGGTGGAGAACTGTGGAGCCTGGAAATACCTGTAAGTATTTGTATAATAGTAGGACATTTTTAATTTAAATAACTGTATTTATCTTCCGTTCATTGAAGGACACAGCAAAGATCTTAACCCCTTGATGCCGGTTGTCATGTTTTTGCATCAAAATCCTCCCGGCCTGACTGCAGCCAAGGTGGTGTGTTTATTCCGCCAATGCTGGTTTATTTGTATTCAATATGTACCAAAGATTGTTTTGGGAGCAGTGATCGTGCCCTGTCGCAGTAGTATAGTTAGCTACAACTGCTTGAAGTACGCAAAGCCTCAGCGCAGTCATGCACATGGCTGCTGACTGCTAATTTTGAGAAAACTTGTGTAAATGTTAGGCTATTTTTGTAAAATAAAAATATGCAACAGCTTATTGTTTGCTGCTACGCCTTTTAAATTGGGGTCAACTCCATGTGACATTGCGACATTAGGCAGTCATGGCTGCATATGAACAATATTATATGTATGGGTAATCTGCTTGATTACATAAAAAGTAATACATGCAAAGTATATATTTCAGCATTTTTTTTCATAAATCGAGGTTCCACCAGTGGAAGTCTGTTCAGATACTGTGGATCACTGGCCAGTGGTTGAATGTGGATGGCAACGTTGCAAACACCCAAATTGTAAGGGCCAGAGTGTAACCAAATGTGCAATGTTCACCTGTGCCTCAACAAGATAAAAAACTGCTTTTGAGAACTCCAAGAGTAAAAATATTTCTTCCCATGTGACTTTTTGTTGATTTTATGACACTCTATTGATTTTTTGATCATTTTTGTCATATGAATTGTTTACCGCAGGTACTGGTCAATAACTTTATTTTATTACTTAAATGCCTAATGCCGCTAATTTGCATCATACCTATATTTTTCTCCATAGTATGTGCCATATTCAAATTAACAATCTCCACCTTTAGTATGTACTTGATAGCCAAAACACATATCACTTTACACTGAAAAATCTAATTCTACCAATGCATTCCACTATGTATGATGATTAATAATAACATAGACATGTCAGGTGTAAAATGCTGTGATTTTGAAATACTTACACTTGCAAAGTATTCACTTCCTGCTTTGAAAGTGCAAAATGACTGTTTGCCAAAGCAATGCACACTGAGAATTCCTTGTCATTTGCAGAGCATTGCTGGGAAATCTAATCTGTAATCTCACGAGATCTCAGGCTTTTTCCTCCCCTGAGGTGATGTGCATGGTCACATGTGCCAGGAAGTTAAAGGAGAGAAATTTAACGTCCCCCCAGACCTTCAGATGGGCATTTTTCTGCATGAGAGCATTCTTAGTTTTCCAATTGGGGGACAGCTGTTGGCCCTGCGGACATGTGGGTAGCTAGTATCTTAGGTGCTTGGGTTTGATAAGTGGTTTCCTGGGGCTGTAATTCCACTCTCATCATCCTTCTCAGTCATGCCTTCGAACCTACCTCTCTCCATACATGTAGCAATCCTACATGCAGCACTCACATGCCATCCTAAACCAAGGATTGGTCCCAGTTTATGCAGTGTAACAGTCCCCAAAACAAAGTAGGGTTCCTGCCCAATTTTGGACCTTAAGGCCTTATCCTTCATGTTACCCAGGTGTCCCACATGAAATCCGCTAGGTCTGTCTTAGCCTCGTGTTTTGGAAACCTCAGAGAATTTGGATATTATGAAAATGTGCTTGCATATCCCCAATTTTTGTGACATTTCAGTGATTCCTTCACCTTTCTGGGTGTCCCAGGCATCTTCAGTTAGTGGCTTTACCATTTGGCCTCCCTTTTGCACAATTAGTTCCCAAGTTGCTTGCCCCTGTCCTAGTACTACTGAGTTCTTAGGCCATCCCCATTCGGGTATCTGGACCGCCTCCGGCTGTGGGGGTAGCTGGCGTGGATCTTTCCCACCAGAGTCGCTTAACCATCCTGACTTTGCAGGGAGGCAGCGACGCTTGAATCCTAGGGGGAGTCAGAGTTGGAACCAGCTTTTCATTTGGAATCACCGAGTCTCACCCTGGGAAAACATGTAATTCTCCACTCCACAGGACTTGTACTCCCAGGAGTCCACCAACTCTTAACTTCTGCTTAAGTGTTCTGAGGCTTGCAATAGTCCGATGCACGCTCTGAGCAGAACTTCACGTTGCAGCCTTGTTTATTTTTACTTCCCTGATATGGACAGTTGGCTGGCAGATTTCTTCATCTGAAAGCACCTGAATTCTGAAGAATGGCCCCTGCACCTGCTGCTGTTTGGGTAGCTGTTTCAAGGTGTGAACTCCAAATTGGACATTCTGGCCCCCAGGTTCAGCAAAAATATTGGACAGGATTGTCTGTAAGAACAGGGATCTTTTAACCTCTTGCCGTCCGCCCGTAGTAAAAAAACGGACGGACGGCACTGCAGCATCTGCGGGTTGCCGTCTCGAGACGGCAATTTTTTTCTGCTCGCGCGCGCCCCCTAGCGGGCACGCACGGGCAGAAAAGACCCGTCCAATGCGAACACCCGGTACCGGGTGTTTCACATATAGGCGATCAGCGGGTCCATAGCCCGCCGATCGCCTATATGTGCTCGTTCGCGGCACCCATCCCCCCCCCCCCCGCGCCCGCTCGGCGCTTCCGGTTTTTTTTTTTTTTTTTTTTTTCCCCCTGACCCCTCACCTTGATTCCCGGGATCCGCTGCCCCATCTTGGATCCCGGGACCGGCTCCGAGGGCGTCAGGAGGAGGAGGACGGGAGATCAGCTCCTTGCTGATCCCCGTCCGGGCTGTGAATGCAGAAGTGATGTGTGTTACATCACTTCCGCATTCACCTGTCAGTCATCTGGAGAGAGAAGAAGCTGATAAAGCAGATCTCTGCTTTATCAGCTTCTTTTGGGGTCCATAGGTGATATTAGGGGTCCTAGAGACCCCTAATATCTCCATAAAGAGGACCTGTCAGTGTGCCTTTGCTATTATATAGGGGGTTGTTATCCCCCTATATAATAGCAATAACAATAAGTGCAAAAAAAAAAATATAAATAAAAAAAAAGAAAAGTAACACATAAAAAAATAAAATAAAAGCCACATATAAAAAAAGGGGAAAAAACCCCCCCAAAATGTTTAACTCCCCCACCCCCACGTTTACGCGCCTATAAACGTAAATACGCGTCCGGTGCCCCAGCGCGCAAAAATTACAATTGCGCTACACATGTTACATATCGCCGCGAACGTCGCAGTGAGAGCAATCATTTTAGGGCCATCAATCACTGATAACACTAAACTGATGAGCGGTAACAGCTTTTAAAGCGTCGCCTAGGGCCAATTTTGGGTATTATCGTTTTTTGAGGTTTCGCGCGCGCACGCAATTTTAAGGCTTGACATGTTTAGTGTCTTTTTACCCGACGTGACCCCGTCTTTTATATTTTACCAAAACATTGGGTAATAATAAATGTTTTATCATTTAATATAGGGGAAACTGTTTTTTTTTTTTAAATTTCGGTAATTTTTCCTTAATATAGTAAAAAAATAAAACCCCCAGTGGTGAATAAATACCACCAAAAGAAAGCTCTATCTGTCCCCAAAAAAGGGTATAAAATTCATTTCAGTACAGCGCTGCATGACGGAATAAATGTCAGTCAAAGTACCGCAGCGCTGAATATTGAAAAATGGCCTGGATGGGAAGGGGGTTTAACACCGCGGATGTCAACTGGTTAAGGTAGCAGTTGATGTTGCTGTAGGTCCTTTGGATGAGTACTTCCTGATCTCCGCCTACCCCTCCCTCATGCGATCCTCAGGATCGCAATGATGGGTGTCTGGTGATGATCATAGGGTCAGATTGGCCCAGTCAGATATGATACTCAGACTCTGATCTCTTACTGACCATCTAAATCAGGGTTAGGAAACCCATTATGCCTTTGTCTCGGAGACTAATGTCTGTGGCTGTCAAAATCTTGCAATGCCCCATGGGACTTGTAGTTCCACAACAGCTGGAGTGCCAGGGCTAGCTAGAAACATTTCGGGGCTAGAGGAGGTTTCTACTTGGCGCTGGAATTTTTTTTCGTGGAGTGCCAAGGCTACCAACCCATATCTAGATTTTTACTCCCAAGGATCGATTATCATTTTGCTGTATGGGTTCAGCATGTTTGTTGAGCCCAGGTCTTGAGAAATATAGGACCCCCTGACTCAGCTATCTCCATGCTGTTGGATGCTAGGATTTCTACTTTCTGCGAAGTCTGCCATTTCATTTGGATGCCATACTTCACCTGGTGCGAGGAAAGGAGCCTTCACCTCTACAGATACTCTATGACACAAAGCTTGACATTTTTGCAATCGGGTCTGGATCAGCATTTGGCCCTAACTGTCATCAAGGGATTATTTTCAGAATTATCAATCTTAATCGAAAGCTGGCTACCTTCCCCTTTCTTGTTTAAAACTTGTTCATGGTGTTACTATTTTAGCTCCCCCTCTACTAGCTCATGTGACTCCATTGGATTTCATTCAGCTTCTGTTGCCAGTTCAACATCTGCCTTTTTGACCTAACAGGAATAGTCCACCTACCGCCCTTCCTTTTAAGGTTGTCTTTCTTGTTGCCATAACCTCTGTGAGGCTTTTTTTTTCTGGGAAGGTCAATTTCCCATTTGCAGCTTCCAAGTCTTACCAGTGGCATGTAGTGTTCCAGTTGTTTAGTTTTTCCCACCACTACTTTGGGTCATCCCAGTGATCAGATACTTATGATCTCTGATAGTGAACGGAAAAGAAAATGGGAGTTATTTTTCCTTTTCTCTGCATTCATTGAAGAATGCAGCACCCACCCCTATGGTTGTGACCAGTAGCCGTCCCTAGACTACTTTTGTTTTTGTGCTTAGTGTCCTACTCCTAAAGGTGACACTATAACTCCAATGGTCAGAGGTCTCCGCTGTGTCCTTACAATGCACACAGAAACTGAGTACAAAAATCTTATTTCTATAATGCTTATTTGATAATAACTTAAGTACTAACAAATGTATTTTCTATGTGCAAATAGTAGTGATATAAATGCACTGATACATTTTTGGAGTCTACAGGGAACAGTTCCATTACTTATGGGACAAATAGGCAGACTTAAATACTGTATATTGGATTCCCTGAAGTAGAAGACACTTACCTACTGTAGCTATTTAAGCCTTAAAGTAACTTATTATTTGCAGATTTGTAACTATCTGTATATGTATTGGGAGAATTATAATCTACTTATTGCTTAATTTCAGCTGAAAGAGATGATGATTGTTGGCATTGACTGTTACCATGACACTGTGGCTGGGAAAAGGTCTATTGCTGGTTTTGTTGCAAGCTTGAACCAAGGAATGACTCGGTAATATGCTTATTTACTTGAAAAAACAATATTGTGCCGAGCAAATAATCATACATATCTAATAAATTGAAACATATATAAAAGAGTCATATATATGAGCCTTCAAACAAATGAGGCATAAGAAATATCTACACACATACAAAAAAGCAATATAGGCAAAAAAAGTCCCAAGGAAAAAACAAACGCAAACAATGGTGATTGTGCAAAAAATTCCTCAGATGATTCGCAGCCAATGTGCATATAACTCTCAGGTAAGGATAATCACACAATGCAGGCAGACCTTCACCTCCACCCAGTGAGTGATGATAACAAGCGAATGCTCACCTGGGGAGGTAGACCCACAGAGCTAGGTCAAATGCATTTTTCCCCTTCTTAATGGGGGAGGGAAGCCCATGCACAGAAAAAGGCGATACGGTCTCCTCAGATCACAGGTACCAGTATAAATCCAGATGGAAAGAGAAAAAGGACAAGGACATAGTGCATAACGTCCAATAAAATGCAATTTATTATATAAAAAATGCGTACTCACAATGGTGTAAACAGTACAGGCATTGGGTATTGCTGGATCATACCAGCAGGACAAATGGCAGCAAAGTGATAAGAAAACTGTTCGTCCGGCTCAGCGTGGTGACATCAGGAGCTCTGCCCTACGTACGTTACGTCAGACCCCTAACGAAGTCACGTGTTTTGACGTAACGTACGTAGGGCAGAGCTCCTGATGTCACCACGCTGAGCCGGACGAACAGTTTTCTTATCACTTTGCTGCCATTTGTCCTGCTATGACAGTCGAGATGGGAAGGCTGCGTCTACTCTGTTCCTGTCTCACAGTTCACACGGAGCAGAGCGGAGAATGGACATTCTCAACTCTGCCCCCCGCTTTCCACCCTGAACTACTTTGCCCTGGTCTTGAGTTCCCCAGAAGGGTTGGGGACTGTAACGCTCCGATGCGGCTTATTAAGTGTGGCGTGGATCACAGCTTCAGATATTAGGGTTATCGGGTGTGTAGTTTTATGTACCAGTAAAGGGGTGACTTTACAATCACTGATAGGTTTTGACAGAAAACAGTTCAATGGGACTCGCAGAATTAGTATGTTGAGAAGACACAGTTCAATGAAAACAGCTGAATCAGTATGGTTGAAAAGACACAGTTCAAATGGAGGTAACTGATTGAGTTAGGTGATACTTGCAGTTTAGTGGTTCATAGGTGCTCTGCTGCCACCCTGTGGCCATAAGAGGAATTGCTGGTCTATAGTTCATAGCTGCTGTATGAGAGAAGTTCACGAGGTGATCTCTCTGGAGAGAGCCTCGTCAGAGAGCAGGGCTGTGTGGTGGCTTGGATGGCCGGTGAAAAGGGGCTCTGTCCGGCCCAATAGGTGGTGATGGTTGTGCTGCCACGGAGGTACTTGCCTGGCGTCAGGCTCCTAGCACGAACGCCAGGCAAGTGGCTCCAGCAGGAAGGAGTAGGAGTCCGGTGACGTCACCTGGACTCCGAAGGAGATGCCGGAACCCGGCGGAGGGGTGAGATCGCTACAGGGACCCCGAAAACGACGGCGGGTGGTGGCAAAAAGGGAGACAGCTGGCAGTGGGGGTGGACCATGGAGGCCGAAGCAGGGCCACATGTAGAAAAAAAAAAACGACCTGCCTGGTGTCCAGAACCGCATGTCTCGGGCGTCAGGCGATATAAAGTCGATACCCCTGCCTAGGCTCGCGTGCCAACAGAGGGGCCTCTGCGTGCCCTCTGTGGCACGCATGCCACAGCTTCGTCATCGCTGACCTAGGGCTATGATGGAGGCCAAATCCCTCCAACTACTAGAGACGGCTCAATTTTTGCCTAGTGCCCAAGAGCAAGGTCCTAAGCTTCCTACTGAGAATCTTGGATCCATTTTTTTTGCAGGATATTTTTATTGTTTCTTTTGTCTTCAAGACCTTCAATCAACATTTGAGCTAGGTAACCGGCTGGGTATTCTAAATGGCTTTAGTTCTACCAGGTCAGCCATCGAGTGCATGCAAATCCTTATCTACGTGCATATTTGGCTGCAACAGCTCTATATTGAAACCAAGGGGCGTCTGTGAGTGTTCCTTACAGAGAGCACATGTGACCCATTGCTCTGTCATAGTGTCCCCCCAGGCAGACATATACCCCAGGTGAGTATATGCACACCCTCATTTCCCCTTACACTTCTTGAAGGTGGGTGGAATGGTTTATAAGTACCCATCATCCCTTCTGTTCTCCTGTGTGGGTGTCCATGTGGTGCTGTACACGCTCAGCAGGAGACATATATGCCTGGTGGTCCAACCAACTAGTGTCATGTCCCTGGGTAAGCAGGTGGACTCCTGGCTCTTGTCTGAGGAGGTTCGCTTTTTATTTATACTTCCTTATGGCACATGGGTATCTCTCTTAGTGTAAGTGTTGGCCTGGGACTATGGGAGATACATGGTGGACTTTCATTATTTAGTAAGAGGCCTCTGGAACCTGGTCAGGGCTCACTTTCTCGTGTCCCTCCCATGGCTGCACCTGCCCACGGTCAGGCTATACTGTAGTAGAGCCGCAGCTTGCAGTCCAAAAGTCCTGGCCGCTAGTTACCTAGGGCCTGCAGCGCCAGAAGCCACAGACAGCTTTCTGCATAGGGCTGCTTCCCTTGCTGATTATACTTCTACCTGGATTCTGGGGGTGAAAGTCCCTCAGTAGCAAGCCCCGACAGTTGGGCTCTTCAGTAAGTGAGGACATGCCCAATGTTGCGGAAGCAATGGCCGCCATGTTTGAATAGGGGCCTACGTCTCTTCCACCTTTGCTACAGTGCTGGGAAACTCGGCTGGCTGCAGGACCCTAGTTATCCTTCAGGGGTGCTAGTGTGCTTCTTGCAGTTTCCAGGGGCAACACTTTTGGGCAGTTTGCTGAAGAGGTTTTCATTTCTTGAACTAGATTGGACACTGATTCCTTGGCTACATAATTAGCACTCTCCAGGATATCGATGCAACCACTGGAATGGTAGTCCATCTCCTCTTTGTATTTCATGCTGCTGTGCCTGTCTCTCTCAGTACTCAGACTTCCTGACAGTCTTTTGGCTGTGGATGTTCCCATCCTCTTTTGAAAAATCTTTCTTTGATCTGTTTGTGGCATTACAACCCTGTTTTTTTTTTTGGCCTCTGAGTTTGTCATTTGCATAGGATCTATAGTCTTTATGGGAACGCTACACCTGGATTTTGAGGACCTCTGCTACTATTTCTTTGCATCCAAGACCGTTTCGGATCATTTTGATGTCGTCTGTTCCACATTGCATATGGCATTTCAGACCGAGACTTGGCCTCTGTTGTGCTAACTATTTGGCCGAGATACTTGCCTCTTGGACTTCCCTGGCTAGGTTAGGGCCTCAGAGGTGATCCATTAACTGGTCGGACTAATTCCTGATCATAGCATCTGATTCTCATACACGCAGCATTGAGTTACAGTTACCGTGGGCGGTAAGAAGTGTTTTCCCGTTTTCTCCCCGGTCATTGGCTTAGGTATTCACCCCTGTAGTGGCCTCACTGTGTTCTCAGGGTTTCCAGGCTCCACTAGTGGGTTGGTGCAGACCCTAGCCACCAATGTGCATTGCGCCTCCCAGGCTTTATGGAGGTTAATCTATGTTCCAGACCAGACAACAGAAAGATGTTATCCCTAATAACATCTTTCTGTTGTCTGGAAAGAGTCTGTTATTGCTTTTGCAGTTTGCTTCTTCTATACCCAAGGACCAGGGTTTTCTTGGCCTGGTGACTCAGGAAACCCATGTCCTGGTCTCCTTGCTGGTGCAGGGCACTTGAATGCCAGAGGAGTCTCCTCTCCAATTAAATGTTTTGAGAGTGTTGGGCGCTTGGATGACCTGCCACACAGGATGCCCCAGCCCCTCATCATCTGCCCAGGATACCATCTGACCATGCTGGGACTATGTCTTGCATCATTCATATGAGGGCTCTCTGGTGAGGTGGGTGGTTTCTTGGGACCTATGTTCAGTTGGGAGTCGACAGATTTGAATTTTCTGTCCTACAGGTTCTATAATGTTCTGGACTTATTTTGTCTCCAAAGGCAAGGATCTTTGGCCAACAGCAGTGGATATTCTGGTAGCTCCGTGATTAGATCGCCTTGCTCTACATCCTTCCTTACCTTAGCCCCTTTCTCATCAGCTCTGCATATGTGGGGTAGTCTGGTGATAGTCTTTACTCGCATCTGGAAGTTTTGCTCTTCCTGGCGCCTTTGACCATACTCTTTTTTTTTTGTGTGTGTGTTTTATCCGATTAATTAAAAAAATAATCGGCCAACTAATCGATTTTGACAATAATCGTTAGTTGCAGCCCTAGTTTTATAAGGTTAATGCTCTTGCTTCTTCAGATGCTAGATTTGGGCGTACGGTCTTTCAGGAACCTTTGCACCCTACCCCCCTATTGTAGTCACAGTTTTTTTACGCCCCAGTGGTCAAGAGCCATGGCTCTTCTTTGTGTCCTTCAATGAACGAAAGAGAAAATTAGATTTTTGTACTCGCTGTAAAACCCTTTTTTCTGTATTCATTGAAGGACACAGCACCTGCCCTTCAGTTGTTGGCAATTGTTCTTGTTGGGCTTTACTGCTTGCTACTAACTGAATTAGCAAACTGGGCATTGGCCACCAGCAGGTGTCGCCTCTAGGCTGTTTTTGTACCTAGCATCCTACTCCTACAGGTGTCCTTCAATAAACACAGAGAACAGGATTTTACAATGAGTACAAAAATATTTTTTTTTTTGTCCTCGGCAGAGCCTTTGCTGACCGTACCCTGCTGGAAGATGCAGGCCTGGCCTGCAAATTGCTTAGGGCACTGAATCCTGTGTGTGGCATTCAACTTATAGTTTACACAGCCTTGGTCCATGGGGCTGGAGCCCTGTCTTTGCAGACTCCCTTTGGAGGATATGCCCACCAGGAAGGCGAGGACTGGATGGGGCATGTCCCCTTTAAATTAAAGCTCTTCTCCAGTCTAGTTTTTCTTAAGGTACACAATATAAAATCCTTTCTCCCAAGAGCCTATGGTAGCCTGTGGAGCCATATGTCACGGCCTCCCCTAGTGTTCTTCCTACTGTAAATACGCCTGCCATTTCCTGACGTGCAAAAAATGCCCACGTTCTGCCGCTGGGACTCTTCATTTCAGCAAGGGACCATAGACATGGAGAAGTATGGGCGACAAAGTTCTGAATCCTCATAACCTGACAACGGCTCTGGAAGGGTTCTGTCCCCTCTGGAGACACTGTTTCTGCTAGCTCTGTTTTGCCCCTTCATACCTTTACTCCCCACCTCCGAGTTGTCTGCGGCACCGTCCAGGACACCCTGCTCTTCCATGCTGTACAGAGAGTAGTTAACTGCAGTAATGACAGAATTTATGGAGAAAATGTCTGAACTGTTTCAGCTCCCATGGGACATATAGTAAGTGCCCCCTTCAGAGTTCCTCTCTAATTTTCCTCTCTCTGCTTGTGCACTTTCTCAGGAAGAAGGGGCTGCCTCCAGTTCCATGGACTCAGGCCAGGAAGATCTGATTCCTGACATCTCAACCTCAATGACACTATTTCTATTCATGTGACATGGTGCACAATTGTTAACAATTAGACCCAACTGCATCTTCCTTAACCAAAGTTCACTAGTCTGGGTTCTTTAAAAATGCCAAGGTCTTCCCTGTATCCGGGTTTTTATAGTAGGTGTATGAACACTGAGAACATCCTGAAAAAATATTTATTCCTCCTAAACAGATTGCTGATTAACCTCCTTGGTGGTATTCCCGAGTGTGGCTTGGGGTTAATTTGCAGTACCATAAGCGGTAACCCCGAGCCACACTCGGGATTACAGTGTAGTGTCTCTTACCTTGTCCACGATCCCCGCAGCCGGGTTCCATCCCTTGTGAGCGTCTGCGTCGCAGGGGGGCGGAACCGGCGGGAATTTAAAAAGTTTTCAACAAAAAAGGAAAAACCTGACAGGGTTGCATACATGCAAGCTCTGTTCAAATCACTAGCCTTAGAGCCACAACAAAAGGTAAGGGGAAATCCCATTTTAGCCATCACCAGAACAGGTGTCCTCATTGAAAAAGTATCCCTTATTGCCGTTTCCCTGACTTGTGAAATTTTAATTTTCTATCACTTTCTGTCCTAGTGGTAAAAGTCATCAGGACAAATAGAGAGGGTTAATGTCCCCTGCACAGATATAGCAATTAAAACACTAGGGATTTCAACACTTAGACTGTATTAAACACACATTAAGCATGCATAGCACTCTATTGTGATCCTCAGAAATCCCACCTTAACAAATCCCATGCAGCATTTTCTGAAGTGCATGCATGTAGACAGCTTCAAAAAGGATTCAACAGATCACCAACACTGAGATACAACAAAGGAGTAAAAAAGGTCTAAACAAACATTTTATTTATGAAAATGGCAAATTCTTTATAAAACTCAGCGCTTTGGCAAACTAAATGTATTTAAATGTTTTCACTTCTACTTTAATTGTGGGATCATCCCATCAGTTATGTGAACAAGGTGGCACTACCTGTAATGTAATCTGATTGGTATAACTATTTCTTTAGAATTTTCCCAGGATTCCACTGTACAGAGAACCTGTAACTAAGATATGCTAGTTCTAATTTTTAATGTTGCAAGATATTTGTGCAAATGTTTATCAAATCAATATGTTTTGAGGAAAAATACACTAAAATTAACCTTAGTGCAAACAGAATAGAATACCCAATTTTTGGTATAATATAATAGGTCAGGTTGTGTCGGATAAATAGATACCAAACATGTCAAGCCTTAAAAAACTACAGTACCCAAAATTGCCCATAGTCAATGCTTAAAAAGCCTTTACAGCTTATCAGTTGAGAGTTAACAGTGAGTGTTGGCACTAAAATATTTGCTCTCCCACTCCGACATTTACAGTGATGTGTAACATGTGTGGCACACTGTATATATGTCAAGGTGAAACTTGTTTTTGTTTGTCACTACCATATTTTTTTTACTTTTTTTTTTTTACACTATATTGTTATGACATGGGGTCTAAGAAACCCCCTTTGTGGCAGTACAGTGTAAGTGACAAGTCCTCCTTATGAAAATATCAGGGGTCACCTATGGACCCCACTGAAGCTGATGAAGCACACATAGTGCTTCACCAGCTTCTTCTGTGGATACAGCAGCCAGAGAAATGACAATGCCTGGAACTGACAAAATCATAATTGCTTCTGGATTAGTAAGCGGAGCCTACTTTCATTGGCTGATCTCCCTCCGATCCAGCCACACACATCGACATTTGGGGTCACTATTTGGCAGCATTACAAGTGATTTGACTGAACACTTGTATGTTAAAGCTGACAGTCAGCTGAAATGAACAGCACCAAGATCCTGTGATCTTGGTATAACCACTTCAGGAACATGCTGTGTATATATGTACTGTATCGTGGTCCTGAATTGGTTAATAAAATAGTGAAAGTTCACTTTAAATACAATAATAGTGGGAAACCTGATCATGGTTGTTTGTTCCATTTGACAAAGTCAAGGGGTCAAAGCCAGTAATGTATTGCATGGCAGAATACGTACATATTCATTTAATAATGATCTATCTTTAATTAAAAACTTTAATCTTTCTTTAGATGGTTTTCTCGTTGTGTTCTACAGGACAACAAACAAGAGATCGTTGATGGACTTAAAGTTTGCATGCAAGGTATATGTAACACTATGGACGTAAGCATATGAGATGTACATATTGTGATGCAAATCAAAAAGGCCTCAACTTCATTGATATTAAATGCACACTAATTGTGATTATTTTACACAACACAGAGATGCAGGGGAGGTAAGCTGTTGTGTTTGGTATATTGAAATGATACTGACTTTTCCAAATATAAAGAGCAATTCAAGACAATAAGCCAATCAATGACTGTCTAATTCAGCAACTGTGATAAAGTGAAAAGTCCACTCAAATTGCCTTCCTCTAAATTCACTGAAACCAGAATCTAGAGAGCTTCTTACATGTGGGGTGGGTGCCTCTGTTTTCTGGAAACTTCTGTGCAATGTCAGAATTCCTTGACAGGTTTGAATGCGATATGTGGCCGTAAGGAACACCTATTTATAAGATTTCCGACTTTTTGTATGCAAAAAACAAGAAGAAACCTATATTAAAAGCATATAGAAATACTTTTCATTACAAAAATATCAGCAAGAGGTCTTTATAAGCAATGCAGTGTGCAAATGTATTAAAGGCATGCCTGGATAAAAAGTTGAATTTATTGCACAGGCAGCATGTGTTTACAATATGCATCTTTTTTTGTCCATTGAAGGACACTAGGAATCTTAAACTTTGAGTTATACTGCCGCCTATAGGAGGATTGGATACTGGTAAACAAATAACTGAATCCTAGTGGGATGAATATAATTTCTGCAGTATTAAAACTTACTTTACATATTTTTTCTTTGATTTGTTTTCCTTTAATGAAGAATCTTCTCTAGATTGCTGCTGGAGCGTTGTCTGTACAATTTTAGCTTTCCGATGAAGTCGTCTAGAGGTGTTAGTTCTTGCCCTGTCTCTGAAGAACCACTTAGTGTGTAGACTGGTTGCCCAATCTGTTCTCTCTTTTCCCGCCATACAGTGTTGAGTTAGCATCTCTCCATTGCTGTTTGAAAGGAGCCATGTGAAAATTAATTGAGGGGGATTTATAAAAACTGGAGCAGACAAAATCTGGAGCAGCTGTGCATGGCAACCAAATCAGCATCTCTCTCATTTTCAAATCTTAACTGAAGTGAGAAGCTGATTGGTTTCCATGGGCGACTGCTCCAGATTCAGTCTGCTCCAGTTTTGATACATTTCCCCAATCTCTTTTTAGTTTCCGCTTCTAGCCTACAGTGATTCACCTCTGGTCATCCTACCTTCACCTGCTACTAGCTGTTTTTGGGTTTCATTAGTGCCTAGGGCCTCTTACCCTGAGCCTACACATCTGAGCATTACTCATGTTATCCTCTTATCTTAAGGTGCCCATACACTGTGCGATTATCGCACGATAATCGCGGACAATCCCGCGATCGTACGATAATCGCAAAGTGTATGGAAGGCGTGCGACCGTTTTTACTGTACGGTCGCACGTCCTTTGTCTAAGGAGCATGCTAGAAAACCAGCCGAGAATCGTACGATTTTCGGCTGGTTTTTAGCATGATCGTAAGATCAATGCCGCACGGGCCGGTGTGCGCACGCGCACACTGTCCGTTCAGCATTGCGGTCATCGCAAGTACGATCTGCCTGTCCAAGATGGGCAGATCGTACGTTTTTTTAAATTACTTTACAACCATCGCAAGACTAGGGTCTTGCGATGGTTGTTAAGTGTATGGCCACCTTTAGAGTCTGTTCTGTCCTCAGAGTCTTCCTTCGCTCCATCGGGTGTCGCTGGCCCCCTTTTTCGGCTGAGTATTCACAGTTATGCAAAACTAAATAACCAGTGGTTTGCAGACTCTGATCAAAGAAGCAACGAGTGCATTTCCGAGGCGTTCTGCTGCAAATTCTAGATCTGATTTTCCCATGACTTTAGTGGCTTACAAGTCATGAGCCACAGAGACTCTGTCTGATTCTGAGTCTCTCTAGTCCTTGAATGATAAATTGACTCCAGAGGAGTTTATTTATTACAGGTATGCATATAGCGCAAACAATTTACGCAGAGCTTTCACATCAGTCCCTGTCCTCAAGGAGCTTACAATCTAATTTATCACACATGCAAACATCCGGTATCTATTTAGACAGGAGGCAGTTAACTTTCAAGCATATCTTTGGCGTGTAGGAGGAAACCAGAGTACCTGGAGTAAACCCACGCAAGCACAGGGAGAACATGCAAACTCCTTGCAAATAGTGTCCTGACTGGGATTCAAACCGAGGACCCCCTGAGCTGGGCAGAAATGCTAACCATTAAGCCAGTGTGCTGCCCAGTTACAGTTGCAGTTTACTGCTTTTTCTTCCAATTGAATAGTGACCACTTAGGCTTGTATTGATGATATCACTCTGAAACTAGAAGTTCAACTTTTTTATTCTAACAGTGCTTTAGAGCTGCAGCTAACGATTATTTTCAAAATCGATTAGTTAGCTGATTATTAAGTTTGATCGGATAAACAATCAAATACATTTTAAAAAATGGCTCCAGTGATGGACTACTAGTTTGTATTGACAGGAGCAAGCTTGGAGCGGTGGAAGTAAAAAAGAAAAAAAGTGTGGTGTGCAATATAGTGAAATGGAAAGAAAGGAGTTGCGGCGTGTAGAGCGTGGATGCGGGTCTGGCAGCGTTGAGCGTGAGTTGGGGAGGAGGTGCGGTGCGCAGCGTGTGTGGAGCCGTGAACAGGGCCAACTGATCAGAAGCCGATTAATCGATTATTGAAAAAGTTGACAACTTTTTCAATAATCGATTATGTCGATTAGTTGTTGCAGCCCTACAGTGCTTTCTCTAGCCTTGGGTCATTTAATACTCCTAAGGCAGTGACGAATTTACCTTTGCGCTTACCTTTCCAACTATTTCTCTGTGAAGATTGGAAAAATCCTTACAAACTGTTTGCTCCCCCTAAATGCTTGTTAACCTTGTATCCATTTAGGTAATTTGTACATAAGTCATCTATTCCCGCTTTTGGCAGTACTTCACCTTCGTAGGGTGCTTACCATTCGGGCAGAGGATGCGCCTCTCTTTACAGACCCAACTAGAGCTCTTATTTCCCTGGCGAGCCCTACCATCTTCAGATTCGGGCTGTGACTGTCAAACCATGTATGACTGGTCAAAATCGACAACTGTTGGATTTGATCTCTGGCTTAGCATGGAGCAGATGGCTGAAGCATTAAATGTCAGCTGCATTGGTTTGCTAGAAGCCTCCTGTCTCATTTTCCACACATCTGTCAAATCTATTCATATTAGTGTACTCTTGTGTAAAAAAAAAACATTGGATCCACATCACCTTTCGTCACCCCCGTCGGATGGAAGACGCAAGGCCAGTCTGTATGGTCACTTTGGACACTTTTTTACCGACATGTTGCATGGGACACGTGTATTCTAGTACATACACAACCATCTTTGCATGGCATGATAGACACTCGTCTATGTCATATTTTTGTATTGGTACTGATAGATTGATCTAAATTCACCGATTTTAGATTTATTGATCTTTCCTCCAGTAGTTATCAAGCCCTCTTGATCTGTTGTTACATGGGCCGTTTAGTGTTCTCTACTCAGTTGGATTGCTTTTGGTTGCCACACTATTCTAAGACTGATCCTGTGTCCTAAGATGTACGATTAAAAACATAGGATTGTTGTCTTACCTGTAAAATACTTTTCTTGGGATACATAAGGTCCCTCCCCCGTTCTCCTCATATCATTACTTCTGGCTTGCTAAAAAAAAACTGACTTGCTTGCTTGGAGTGGGGGAAATTTCATGGGGTTGTCCTTATCGCTTTGGTTTCCAGTGTCCAGTTACCTCTGAAGATAGCTGTGTAAAGCCAAGAAAGTCTAAATTGGGTCCCGTGATGTACTCTAAGAATAGGATTTTACAGGTAAGACAACATTCCTGGGTTTTTGAGTCCCATAAGGGACACAGGTCCCACTCCTCTGTCTTTATGAGCTTTCTTTTGCTAGCTAAAGAGGTACCAAGCATGCTGGTAGTGGGAGGGGTTATGCTGTGCTGGCCTACAGGATTTAAAAAATATATATATTTTTAAGGCTTGATTATCAATTTCGATTAAAGTGTAATTTTAACCTTCAAGATTATAAGAGAACAGATTATTCTGAAACTGGTTAGGGAAAACAAGATACTAAGAGAAAACAGGCTGACTGGTTAGTAGGTAGGAGTGTGATGGAGAGATTAAAGCTTTGCAGTCAGTAGGAGTGTGCATTGTGGCAGTCTATTTGTGGGCTGCTTGTGATTGTGGGAATTTCTGCTCTAAAGAAGCGCAGTGTCTCTGAAATAAGGTGCAACTTGCCACTTTCCATCCTAAACTAACCTAAAGCTTTTCTCCAGGCATAGCTAAATACACAGTTGAAATACATATGTAAGAGCTGTTCTACCTGGCAAAGGATTTGTATTGCTTTTTGTGCAGTACTGAGAATAACAAACCAATGCAAAACAACAGATACCGACTATACAGTGAAGGAGTAGCTGCAAGCTGATGAGACCATTCCTATGCGCCCTCCACCTGCAGTATATTCCTTATTAGCACATGTTCATGCAGCACAATTAGCTCCTGCTGCTGCCTATCCCCCTCTCAGTTTAACATCCACTGTGAAGGATGATACCTAGTCTAATTCAGTTACTTGAACTGGTTACCTTTAAAAAATAGTTTTTCTTTGGGTTTTTTTTTATTTGTTTACTGAATACATAACTGGTTTGTTTTTTTTTTTGTTTCCTTTTAGTAGCTCAGCTCTGCATTACTGTTAACGTAGTCACTGTATATGTTTCATATTGTGTCATGTCTTAAGACCAAAGCTTTTAAGTGTCACCGATGTAACCTCTATAATGCATTATTTTTTCTACAACAGCTGCCCTTAAAGCCTGGCATGTTTGCAATAAAACTCTCCCTTCCCGGATCATTATCTACAGAGATGGAGTTGGAGATGGGCAACTTGACACACTGGTTAATTATGAAATTGGCCAGTTAGTTGATAGCATAAAAGCTACGGGAAAAGACTACAGGTAACTGTAAACATGCAGCTGGTTTAGCCTGTAGAGTAGCTTTGGGCACTGAATCCTGCAATCGGCACTCAACCTTGGTATGTGGTGAAATCTGTTGGATTAGCTTCAGGGTGTTATATAGCTCCAGGGCAGTGGTTTCCCTGTATTTCACACGGTGTACCTAGGAATATTGTTTAAAAATAAGTTTTTAACACTTTAGATATTGCTTTGGTGAAGGCCTTTGTGCACATTCCAAGCTACTCTGAGCTGAGTTTGAAAGTAGTCTCAACCTGAGGGAGACACTGGGATTCCTCTTAGTCTTTAACTCTTTCTTAGGGCAGACAGTGTTCGAATCTAGTTTACAACTGATAATAAATATGCCAGCACAGTACAGACAGGGTTTATTTAGAGTAAACATAACTTTCAGAGCCCCTTAACATGACATAGGGGGAAGCTAGGCAGAATTTGTAAGCAAGTATAAAGCACCTGAAAATGTAAGCAGCAATCTTAAATATTATTTATGATAGTTATGCTATGTGAATGAGAACATGTAACAAATAAAGTAGGTGTTATCCCAATTTGGCTGCAAAATTGGAAAGGTTTCATAAAGGGCAAGGTTGCGTGAAACTTTTGCCACTGCCTATGCAGTTGAATAATTCTTTCTTTATTTTAAACATACATCGCATGACATGGAATTAAATCTTGAATGGATGGGTTATGCAGGGGATTAGACAATGGCAAATCAAAGCTGTGACAACAGCCCTGTATAATCCTTTCCACTCCCTCTTCCAGCAAGTTTTCTTAATGCTGCTTACAGCCGTTGCGGCAGCTATCCAGATTAGTTTTCTCCTCATCAGAGCTTTGGAGGATTGTACCTGGATCCAGTTTGAAGGAACATACACTGAGTGGCCAGATTATTATGACCACCTGACGTTTGTAGGCAAATTAGCTATAATTTTGCACTGAAGTTGCTAGAGACCCAGACCATTATAAATAGGGAAGCAGGTTGTTTACCACGACAGCAGAAGTTATTTTTTTCTGAAGATATGGGTAAACAACGCGATTTAACAGCCTTTGAACGTGGGATGATTGTTGGCGCGGAGCCATGGAGCGAGTATCAGTAAAACAGCAGAATTTGTTAAATGTTCAAGAGCAGCTGTTGTTAAAGTGTTTAAAGACTGGACTGTCAGCCGAAAATCTGGGTCTGAACGTGCAAATTGTGGCCGTCAGCGACTAGTCAATGCTAGGGCAGAACGGAGAGTGGCAAGACTGATACAAGACAACAGTGCAATGTCACATTCCTCACAATCACCTTTCAACATCTCGTGGAGTCACGAGGCGGCCCAACTAAGTCATCTCGTGGCCCAACGAAGTACTGATGGGGTGGTCATAATAATCTGGCCACTCAGTGTATAAGGTGGCCTGTAATATGTTTAGGATCCTGTTGGGCATGCTGGATGGAGGATGTCCCGTTTAAGTGATGGCATTGAGGAGTCAACCAATGCTCTTAGGGTGATAAGTCTGGGCATGTTCCTGTCTAGGTGCCCAATTTTGCCCTTTCCCTCTGTGGGTTAATTTACAGTTCCGAGGGTCAAATTACTGCGCCCCCCTCTATTATTCAGTTTGGCACCTTATCCATGGGTGGCCTGACACTGCACTGCATCTATGCAGCCTCCCTTTGGGTATTCATACTGTGCATTCACCCGCCATTCTGCTCCCAGAATCCACTGAGCTAGCTACACAGACATCTTCAGCTGCAACTATGCATTGTTCTGAAGGAGTCCAGATCTGTGCTGATTGCTGCTCTGGGTTTCTGCTGCTTCCTATGATGCTGAAGCATCAGGCATCAGTTTGATCTTTCTCCTGTCCAGAGAGGAGTTCACTGCTGTAATGGACAAATGTTTTGGAAAAATGTCTGCGTTACTTATGCACTCACTAAAGGAAAAAGGAGTTTCCAGTTCTTTGGACCCAGCCCAGAAGGAGGACCTGTCTCCTGACATTTCTCACGAAGACTATCTGTCTTTGTGGAGACGGTGAATTATTGTTTACAGTTAAAGCTGCCTGTGTTGACCTTGACAAAGGTCACTAGCCCGTGTTTCTTAAAAATGCAAAAACCTTGAAAAACTGTTTACTCTTCCTAAACGGTTAAATCTAACTATCTCTTATATGAAAAAGAAGATAATAGTACCTGTATAGAACATTCCTGTGTTCAAGGATCACGTGGACATGAGGTTAGAAGTTAACCCCTTAAGGACACGGCCTTTTCTTTATTTTTTGCTTACATGTTATAATCCACATTTTAGGCCTGAAAATTACTTCAACCCCCAAATCTTATATATTTTCTGAAAGTCAAGACCCTATAGAATGAAAAAGTGGCAATTGCAAGTTTTTATGTTCCACAACATTAGCGCAACTTATTATCAAACCCAAACATTTAGTAAAAAGTGCACTCAAGTTCATTTAGTGCCCCAAAACACAATATAAAACCCCTTTTTTTGTAAAATATAAAAGATGAGGTTATGACGAGTTATTAGATACCCAACATGCCCAGTTTAAAGATGGCATGCATCCGTGAAATTGCAACAAAATTCAGTACCCCAAAAAGTCCATAGACAATGTTTTAAAAGCCCCTACAAGTCATCAGTTTAGGGATACACGTAAATATTGGCCCTAGAATTATTGCTCTGGCGTGCATGGTGATACCCAACATGTGTAGTGCGATCATCGTTTTTCGTACTTAGGCGCACCCGATGCGTGGGGGTGGGAACTTTAAAAAAACATTTTTTAAATTATTTTTACATTTATTTTATTATTTTTAAAACTGCTTTTTTAACTTACTTTAATTGCTATCAAATAGGGGGGGGGGGGGGGTG